GTTGTCTTGATCCTTATTTCCCTTGTGTATTACGGACGACCAGAATTATCATATATGCGAAACAGACTCACTAGAGCCTGAGGTTACGTGATGGTCGGCTTGGCTGAAAGATGACACTACCCACACTTTGAATGTGTGGACCGCAGCTGGCTTGGTGTTGACTAATTAAAGCTAATGGTGCATCAATGCACGCGAGAAGAACGCAACCTTTTCCTGATACGCGGCGGACAAAAGCTGCTCAACAACACCAGGCCTGCATCTGAGCCCCCTGCACACCCGCATTCCTCACTCCTCATTCAGAGCGCCTGATAACCCCCACCCTCCCTTCTGTTCTTTTTTACCCCCTTCCCTCCGGCCCCTACACCCACCCACACACCCCCTTAACCGCTAAAGTGGGCCAACCAATAATCACCCGAGAGCCAGACTTGTGTTTAGCATGACAAAGGAGAATTTGTGCGCCCATTTGCAATTGTGTGTTTACATGAGCGTGTGTTTACAGGCATACATTTGTATGGGTGCATGCCTGCGTGCACGTGTGTGTGTGTGTGTCTGACTTTAGATGAACCAGTAAAGGAAGTTGGTTTGTGCAGGAAATTCGCTCCACATGTGCTCGAAGCTCTTCCACATTTATACGAGCGCAGATGAAACGCCGTATCTCTGTCTGGGGGGTTCTTTAACAGGCAAGCCGATGTAAATGGAAAACTCTGCATCTGTTTGGCAGATCCGCTGTCACTCTGGAGCGTTTTAGAGGGGAACATGGAGTTAATATGCACCATTTGTAGCGGGCCGGCTGGTAAAATATAAAATAAAGATTTGCTTCTGTGCAGCAAAGTCAGATTCTCTGATCTGGTGGCGCTGTCGCCGGGACTCCCACCTGCTTCCTCTGAAGCCCACTCAGTCATACAGCGGGTCGGAGAGGCATTCCTCGGCCCCAGCACCTGCTCAAGAAATTATTCCTCTGGACAGAGAGTGAGAAGGAAAGTAATTCTGGAGTAAGCGGGGGCGTAGGGGGGAGCAGCTGATCAGAGATTCGCAAGGTTTCTGGGAGAGAATGTGGAGAAGTTAAGCTCAACTCCCATAATCCCCTCCAAAACAAAAAAAAGAGGAGAAAAGAAACGAGGGGAGACGAAGGGGACTGAAAACTGAAAGGACCAGGCAACAGTGACAGCAGCCGAAAACAAAGCAGCTATCAAAGAAACACACACACACACACACACACACACACCCCCACACACACACACACACACACACACACACACACACACACACACACACCAAGTGAGTCCAGAATCTTGACGGGACACCCACTGAATACCAAGTTGGGGCTGAGTGCACAAACTGGACATCACACAAACAAGTTCACACCACCGGCCTCGCCTCTCGCTCTGGGACAGTTCGTCAGCTGTAAATCAATACCAACAGCGGTCAGACTTTTTCCGTCGACCGCTCATCTCTGAGTGAGGACGTCTCTAGCTGGGAGGCACCCCTGTGGGTTAAAGTTCACACGAACAGGGTAACCGGGGCGAGCCATGGAAGATGGATTGGGAGGGGTGGAAACAGGGGCAGGGGAGTGGACTGGCTATTTTTGAGGGCAGTAAATGAGGGCAAGTTGGAAGAGAGTTTTACCGATCCGGCTTTTCTGATTCCTGTTTGTTTTTTCAACTTTGCTGGATTTGACCGAATGGTTTTAAGTCTAAGGGCTGTAACACCTAATAGACAAACAAATGGGCTTTGGTTCAAAGTGATCAAACCACAAGAGAAAAACAAGATTATCCTCAATTTTGCGTCAAAGCAAAGCCATCTGCACTGAACTCAAAACCAAGTTCAGAAGTAGATTTTACACTATTCAACCAATCAGAACAGATCAGGGGGGGCAAATGGCTGGTGCATCTCTGATCTTTGCCCCCTTACCCTCGGGCCGGGGCCCCATGCTGACAGGCTCCTGAGGGAGACACAGAGTACAGCCAATGCTTTGAAATGATCACTATATTAGGCGATGACAGGGCATTTCATCTGCAGCTGTCTCAGCTGAGAAGCCCCCCCCCCCCCCCCCCCCCCCCCCGCCCCCCCTCATCTCCACAGTCCAAAAAAACAAAAACAAAAACAAAACAAAAAATCCACCTGCCAGTAACACAAAGTTTTTTTTTTCCTTTCAGTCTGAAAGAGCTCAATGTTTTCAATAGATTTCTGGATGTAAAAAATAATAATGTGTGTTTGTCCTTTAGAGAGAGAAAGGCGTCAGTGTCGGTTTTCCCTCGCTTGCAGTGCCATGATGGAGCGGGACGATAAGGGGATGCTGCTGCCGATTAATAACTTGTCTCGCGCTCGCAGACGGCTGGCAACAAAAAACAGCAACTTTGGAAACGATTACGCCTTCAGAAAGCGCGCGGGATGGGTGGAAGGGGGGGTCTCCATTTCTGGAGGTGTTCCATCTTTTTGTGTGTGTGTGCATGAAAGTCGCTGTCAACGCGAACTCTTGTTGCCCAGAGGCAGCGATGGAGGGGGGGGGGGGGGGGGGGGTAAAGTTCGTGCAAACTTACCGAGCAGGAGGCAGAAGACGTCGAGCGCCACGAGCAGCTTCTTCTTCTTGTTGTCCACGCCGTTGTTGTTGTTTAACGTGGAGCTTCCGCCGTTCCTCGTCTCTTGGGCCATCGCTTTCTCATACACGTACTGTTGCATCGAATGACTCGCGGGGTTTCGGCTCGGAATCCCGCAGCGCGCTGCAGGTCTTGCAGGAGGAAGAGGAGGAAGAGGAGGAGGAAGAAGTGTCAGGATCTGGACGCGTCCTTTTAAACTCTCAACTTTCCCACTGGGAGACACCGCGGAGTCTCTTGGTTATGACGGCTTGTATTGGATTACAGGAGTAACGGGATAAGAAGGGGCACGTGAATGAAAGACAAACAAAACAGGAAAAGTAAAAAGAAAAGTTGAACGGATCCGCGCAAGAAAAACGTTCTCTGGCCGAGATGAATGGAAAGCCCGCTCCCCGTCTATCGGTCTCAGCTCAAACTCTTGGAGCGAGAGAAAATTGGGCTGCCCATCGAAAGCCGCTCTGGTTATATCAATCCTTCCTCTCCTCCTCCTCCTCCTCCTCCCCTCTTAAGTTCCCCCTCAGCTTCAAGGCAAGGCCCTCCTCCTCTTCCCTCCACTAGCGGTGGGTCGTCATCCCCTGCATGGATATCTTTCTGAGTGAGCTCTGATCGGAGAGGGGGAAGCAGGCAGCGGCCCCCGGGGCCCCTGTCCAGGCGCACCGCGCTCAGGATCTGCCCGGCCAAGAGTGTGGATAAATAGCGACTCTACAGGTGATGGAGTTGCTATAAAGGAAAAAAAAAGTTACTTCTATGAACTTTATCTTTCACAATACATAAGAAAATGCGGAATTTAAGTTTAAAAAGCACATATAGGCTATACAAGATACGGGCTACGCATCAAAACTAGCTTATATATATCTATAGATATATATCTATATATATAAGCCTAATAAATGAATATATATAACCTTCCTGTTCCAATCCTGGTTTAAGCTCCCACAGCAGCCCGGTTGATGCAGTGATCAAACACTGACATCTAGTGGTAAAATTCAAGTAGTTCATATTCACTGGTGAATTTGTTTTACAGTTTTTTTTCTTTCTTTTTTTTTATTTATTTACATGTCAGAATCAGTTTTACTAGCCAACTTTGTGGACCCAAATGACAAAAATGATCACGCTACGATTTTGTCTTCAGTGTACAAACATTTAAATGTATGCATTTTTGTAAGAAATATGTAAATGTGAATGTACAGTACAGCGGGCTTACTATGTGCTAATATGAAATATCACCTACAATTTATGAAACTCCACACTTAACTGGCAAAACACCAGACTCCTCAATACGAATAACGTGGAAAAATGTAAAATTCAAACAGGCCACTGTTAAATAAAAAACATTACAAACACGATCATGTATGCACACATTTCTCTAATTAAAAGTATAACCTACATTTAGCATCTGGACACATTTAGTCATACAGACCCACAGTCAGGAAGTATTGTAGTCCGGCCTTTAGGGTCTCACAGTATTTATTTCTTTATGTAAGTTGCATGCTGAAAAAAGTAAAAAAAAAAGTAAAAATAAAAAAAATGCAAATTTGCTATGACAAAACACTTAGACCAAATGGAGTCTGTACCTTTAATCACTGGACTGCAGGAGATCGAGTTAAAAAGCCTCTTAACAAATTTACATTTTTACAAAGAAAAAAAATAAATTTTGGTCCAGCAGTCAAAAACTGATGACAAAGTAATCTTTCAGAAAGAGTCTAAAAGGTACCATGAAGTCTACTCTTTATGCCGTCATAAATTCAGACAGTGTAAAGTCCAAGAGAGACAACTGAAAACATATTTTCTTATACCAAGTTAACGAGTCATTTAGTCCAGAGCACGTGTGCTCTGATTAAATTGGCTCCTCCTCTTTTGATTGTTGCAGTTTTTTGCCTTCCCATTAACTATGGACATCTTCCATGTCCCTGTTGAACAAAAACATCCCCATAGCATAGCATAATGCTGCCACCACCATGTCCCAATAAACACATGTTCGTTTTGATGGTAAAGTTTTCACGGAACAGCTGTACTGAGACGGTTTCTATTTCATAATGAGACGACTTCTGGAGGGGACGGATTTTTTGCTTCGGGATGGATGCTTGTGTCTAGCTTTTCCATTCATCTCAGCAGCAGCGGTTTCAAGACGTCGGTGATTCCTCGCGGCGAGAAGAGTCAGAATTGTCCCCGCCCCTCCGCGCTGCCCCACCGGCAGCAGACGAGCAGCGCACCCACCGCACCGCAGCGCACCGCGCGAGCGAGCGAGCGAGTGAGCCCAGCCGTCGGTAACGGAGAAGATGGCAGAGCGGCAGCAACAGAAACACGAAGGCAGGGTAAAGATCGGCCATTACATCCTCGGCGACACACTCGGAGTGGGGACGTTCGGGAAAGTAAAGAGTTAAGTCATGTTTTCGTGTCACGTCAAAACATAAATGTGTGCATTTGCGGCTGTCAGTCGGAGAAGTTAATGTCAGTGGCCCTGCCTCCTGTAATAGCGTACCGTGCTGAACTTGACTGTACGCAGTCAGCGTAACGCTGCGGTTTGAGACGCGGACTCGGACTGGATTCTTGCGTAGAGGTCGCCTGCGAATTCGACCGCTTCAAAGTCAAATTCTTTCACCGAAGAACCTCTCGGTGGCCACGGTTATCAGCTGTGGCAGGTGTAGTAACACGAACCAAATTTCACACATCTTTACATTGTTGTGTCAAAAACCAGAACCTTTGTGTTGCGGTGGGATTTCTTTTTAATCGGGACTATGAAAGACGCAGGAACCGTCCAGTTTGGTCGTAAGCCTAAAAATGGAGTTAACGGATTTTACCGGGTGGCAGTTTAGTGTGGTTACACCGGGTTAGCTTTTGTTGCCGGGGCAAGAAAGCCATTCACGTACGCTGAGCTGTGCTTCAAAAGCACATTGCTGGGTATTTATCTTCTCTTGGCTAGTTGTGGTGCCCTCACAATGACCTTGTGAGCCCTTTCACCCTGCCTGTTTGCTCAGAGTAGCTTAAGTTATGTTTTAAGCTAACTCACCTTCAGCCACCATTGATAACAGCAGGTAAATCATAAAAAAAGGATTTGTAAATAAATATTTTATTGCTGTATATATATATATATATATATATATATATATATATATATATATATATATATATATACACATATATATATATATATATAAATACATATATATGTATATATATATATATATACACATATATATATATATATATATATATATATATATATATATATATATATATATATATATATACATATATATATGTATAAAGTTAATTGTATGTAATGTTTTATAAATGTATTATTTGTTTCATTGCGTCGACAGCTGAAAACAAATAAATAAAACATAAAAATAAAGTGTTGACAGTTGCAATAATATGATAAATTCACAGTTTGTGACAGAAAAGCATCTACAAAGACAGGAAAAATAAGAACCAAAACCCACACTGTGTGATATGCTTCGCAAGGCAAGCATAATAAACATACTATGGTTTATTCACAATGTAATTGTCTTGTAATTTTAGTTTTAGTCTCCTAAATTTATATTATCTTTACTCAACTGAGTTATGAAGTCATAGAGGAATGGATTTCTAGAGCTTTTGACATCTTTGGACAAACATTTCCCTAAACTTAGGTGAATTATTTATCCTTTTATTTGAAACAACTTTAAGTCCCATTAGCTATTTAAAAAATAAATTAAAAAAATAAAACCAGTCTGCTTTTCCACACAGGTAAAATTAAATCTGATTGGATTTAACCTCTTGCCAATATCTCCCTCATCTTTTTTCTCTCTAGTCGGCATTCAGGTCTTTATTATTTTCAATTATTCAAAGCAAGTTGAATTACTTTTTTGTATATCAATATTTACTCTTGTATGAGTATTCATTATGCAAAAAATCAGGAGAAAAAAGTATGTTCTGTTTTAAAGAAATACAATGCAGGCTTCAACCTATTTCATATCTTTCTGTTTGTGCCACTCCTGACTCGATGCCGCCCTGGGCGGTGAGCCTATTTCCCACATCAACAGTGCCAATGAGCCCAAAAGGTTTACACAGTTGCAGTTTCACAAATTATCTTGTGTTGTCAAGCCCACACTCTGAGCTTAACTCTTCACGTGTATGAAACCAACGCCCTGCTTGTGTTTTTGCTGTTGCAGTCGGACAACATCAATTAACGGGCCACAAAGTCGCCGTGAAGATCCTCAACAGACAGAAGATCCGCAGTCTCGATGTCGTGGGGAAAATCAAGCGGGAGATCCAGAACCTCAAACTGTTCAGACACCCCCACATCATCAAGCTGTAAGTGGAGAATAAGAACAACACACTCCTCATGCGAATGTGAGAGCCTGTCTGCTGACAAGCAGCTGGCTTCAGACTTATCAGCTCTACAATCGGCTGCGTTTAATGCGGGTATTGTGCTATTTTGTGTTGCCTGTTTGTGGTGGCTTCCTTGTTCCTGCGTGTTTACTATCGCGGTTCTGTACGGGTCATGCCTACAGGGTTCCCACGAGTCAGAACACACAACGACAATAACATTACCTCTTCCGTAAACACACACAAGCCCCATGCGTAGGCTTATGTGAAGTAATCTACTCCCCTTTTTCACGCCAAATCTCTGCTTAAGATGATAGAGATTTCTTGAAATCCTCACTTACAAACCATTCGTTTTTTTTTTTTTTTAAATCACCTAACAATTTCTGTGTTATTTTAAGCTGAGAGTCGGATTTAGTCCACACTTTCACACTGTGTGCTGGTGACAGATATGTGAGCGCTCGGGTCTTTCCCGAGAAAGCTGTGTGACTTAGACAGAGGCGTATATTTCCAGCATCTTCTGCACTACAACAAGCAGACCAAAGCAAGGTGGACGACCAAACACGTTCCAGATGTTGGGATCACAGTGATTTTATTAACTTGACTCCATTGGTTTTTGAAAAGCTTTGCATGTTTACATGGAGGGGAAATGATTGAGATTTAGTTTGGATTTTTACCCCCTCCCCTGGTGCTGGACCTGTGGCGCTCCACTAACAGGAGTGAAGTAGATTGTGATGAAGTGCAAAATCTCCCTATAGCAGCGATTTGTGAAATTAATCTTGCGGTGTAATAAACCCGACCTGCACCAGTCGGGCTTTGCTGTTATTTTGTGTTCTCAGTCAAATTGGGCACAAATTTACTACGTATAAACAGAGTTTAGAGGCAACGATGTGATTCAGATCAGAGTGAGCTCATCTTAACACATTGTGTTCTTGTTCCAGCTACCAGGTAATAAGTACACCAACAGATTTCTTCATGGTCATGGAGTATGTGTCTGGAGGAGAGCTGTTTGACTACATCTGCAAAAACGGAAGGGTAAAACATTACTTTCTGTCAACTGCTCTAACATATAGATTAAAATTCATAATCACTAGGATAAATTACGAAGGCAATTTCTGAAGTGGGTTAAATAGTTTACTTTACAACAGTTCTGTTAATTTGATCTGAAAATACTTATTAAGAATAAGTCAGTGACTCAGGCAAAACCAGATTTTTGTGAACTGGACTCCAGCTTTTGTAATAAGTCTGCATCTTCAAACTCAGCTCATATAGATGCAATAATAATTATTGTCGTTTATTTATAAATTTCAAGAAAATATGTTCTATCTAAATATATCCCATTAGCATTTTATTTAGCTCTTTGTTACTTTTACTTGAATTTTTTTTTTTACTTTTTGAAACTGGACAAATATTTTACTGTAGAAATCCAAAAATACATTCTTTGAAAATATTGACTCTATGCAGAGGCGATGATCAGCTGATTGCATTTTCTATTGGTTTCTGTGACTCATATATGACAAAAACAACAACTTAAATTACAACTTAAATAGTTGTAATTGCTACACAGCAATTAGGTCCAGGATAAACAAGTACTTTTCAGATTTATATCCGTTTAAAATACAGTTTTTGTATGTGCTTGTAAACTGAAGTATGTTTCTACTTTGTTTCAATTCACTCCATAATTCTGTTAGGAATTTTTCTAAAAGTAGATTGTTGAGTATTTGAGCATAAGTAGAGATGATGAGGGAAAAACAGACTGATTTTCATCACTGGCCAATTTTCTTATTGATTTCTAACAGAAAGGCAATTTTTCTCTTTTCTCAGAATAATAAAGTGATGTCATGTTGATGTCTATCACTTCTAATGCAGCTTTAACTATTTGCATGGCAACACTTTCAGTCTGTTTACAAATGCATTTTGGAATACAGTCACAAGATCAGACATGAATTTGTTACCGAGAGATTGTGGAGTTATCCTCTCAGTTCTCACGTCTAAAACCTTTGATAAAAAGAAAAACAGGAAATCAAGCTGAACTGCCTCACACCGTCTGATGCATTTTAATTCCCGCCGTGTCCCTTAGGTGGAGGACTCAGAAGCTCGCCGTCTTTTCCAGCAGATCATCTCAGCTGTGGACTACTGTCACAGGCACATGGTGGTCCACAGAGACCTCAAGCCCGAGAACGTCTTGCTCGACGCCAACAAAAACGCCAAGATTGCAGACTTTGGTAAGACCCCATAGAAATACACCATAAAGCAGGGGCGTCCAAAGTGCACCCTCGTGTTTGATGTACGTAGAAATGTTCTGTTTTTAGTTAGGGCAAAGTTGTCACAAACAAAGTGTAAAGTTTACAAGAGAAAATTTAGTGAGAACACCAGTTATTTGTCCTTAAATAACCACATTTTTTGCATTTGCTTGTAAGAACCAAATCTGTCTACCGACTTTTACTCAAAACTTGACTTTGCTGCCCTCAAATCTTCGCTCAATTAATTTATTAAACTTTGCTAAAGCAAGCATTCCCAAAGAGGAACCTAAATCTTGATGTTACAGATCAGAAATCAATGCATTTTGTTCTAGTTTTTTCAAACTAGAAATCTAGAAAAATTTGCAAACTTCTTTTAATGAGACATATTATTACCCTGCATACCAATAAAAAAAAATCATAATTTCTTTATAATAATTTACACTTCCCTTTCCAACAACAAATATGACTACTTTGTTGGTTTAATTAAATAGTTGATTAGTTAGTTTATTGATGAGTAGGTTAATTTTTTTGGCCCTCAAATCCTTTTAACTTGACGATTTTGGCCTAAGTGACCGAAAGTTTGGACACCCCTCTTTCATAATTTAAATCAGAGTTACTTAGTAAAAGTTTGATTAAGCTTGAATTGCGTTACTGTCGTTTTGCACTGAGTCATTCAAATACAAATAAGGACGTCGTCAGAGTCCTGTCGGAGAATTCACTTTTCCGGCTGAAGACAGAATGGCTGACGAAATATGAGCAAGAAAGAAGGAAAATATTTTCTGACACAGGCGAGGGTCCTCGTGCGCAGCCAGACGTCCCTTAGCAACGGCCAGGTCTCATATCAAGTCTGGCAGGAAGCCTTGAGGCCCAGTGTCATCTGATAGGGAAGGAATCGGCGGGGGAGCGGGGGGTTGAGGGTTACAGTGGGAGAAGTGTTTTGGCTTCGAGCTAAAAGACTGGTGAGCAGAGAGAGAGGGAGAGCTCAGGGACAGATAAAGTGAAGGTCAGCAAATCGCACCGTGTCTGATGTTTGGTGTTTGGCACAGGCTGTGTTAGTCAGAGAGAGGCTCATCCAATTAGAAGAGCTTTGTGTTTAGAGCTTAGGCTCTTGGTGGGTGAAGGAGGATAAAGATCTCACAGTGTCCACAGTGTGTAGCTCTGCCCTCGCCGTATGGCAATATTCAATTTAGCCTGTCCGTATCGAAGGATCAAAGGCAATAATTTGATCACGGGAGGCTCTTTGGGTCTTGCCTGTCACTGTCAGAGTGATGAAAGACTGTTGTTAATGTGTGCTTTGCCTTCTGATTGGCTTCCAGGACTTTCAAACATGATGTCAGACGGAGAGTTCTTACGAACGAGCTGTGGGTCGCCCAACTATGCAGCTCCAGAGGTCATCTCAGGAAGGTGTGTGCTTAGATTTGTCATAATAATAATAGTAATAATTCGGATGGTTGTTATTAGGTATTAAGCTTTAAGGAAACACTTTAGTCACCCCTCCTGTCTTTACACACTGCCTGAAGAATAGACATGATGACATAATCAGATGCAGTGATTTGAATAAATCTACAAACATCTTGTGTTCTTGCTTTGCAAAGGAGAAGCCAACAGGTTTGCTTGTGGTGTTGGCTTCCTTTTGTTCCATTCTGATAACAATAATAAAAAAAGATCACTTACCTTGTTTAATTTTGGATTTTTAGTCAAGTTATTCTTTTACTGAATTGTCAGAGAGTTTTTGATTATTGTTAAGCTGTTACCAATAAAAGAGTCAATTTTCTGCTTTTATTCTTGTCACAAGGTGGCTTGTTGACCAGTATAAAAAGTGTTGGGTTGTTTTGAAGAACCAGAAATGGGGGGGGGGAAAAGCTCATTGTTGTGAGAAAAATGCAAATTGAAAAATATTTCAAAGCTGTTAAGATTTAGCTCTTTGAGACCTCTTTGAAACAATGTTATGTTTTTGTCAAAATGAAACAAAAAACGAGAAGTGGCCCAGTACTTTCCCAGACTATCATAAACAGACCTTAGAGTGACTTATTTTATAGCAAGAAATTAAGTTTTTATATCCAATCTCAAGCCATTTTTAGCTTAATTTCACAGTTTACATCTATATTGTCACATTACAAGCTAAGTTTATTTATTGGGATTTTATCTGACTGTCAAATTTGAAGTCATACATTGTTGTGAAGAGGAAGGAAGATGCTGTCATTTTATTTTTATATTTTCACAGCAAAAAATCTGGAGAAGTGTGGTGGGTATTTGTTCTGCCTGTCAATGGAGTTCCCCTCTCTGTAATTTAATATTAGCATAAATAATTTTTCCACATTTGATGTTGGGAACATAGACACACATTCAGTTTTACTCAGATTAGACTAAAACTGAAATCTGGTAGTCTGCTTGAAGCTTCAGACAAAAACACAACTTTGTGTTTATGTGGACGTGTCAATGTGTGAATGTTGTATTTCAGCAAAACATACATATGTTTTTGTTAGAAGAGAGAAATGTAGCAGATTATCGCAGCCTTTGCTCCACATCTTGCCAACGAACACAGTGAAAAGCGCCTTCATTCACATTCCTATCTCTTTCAGGCTGTACGCAGGCCCAGAGGTGGACATCTGGAGCTGTGGGGTGATCCTGTACGCCCTGCTGTGTGGCACTCTGCCCTTTGACGACGAGCACGTCCCCACGCTGTTCAAGAAGATCAGAGGAGGCGTCTTCTACATCCCCGAGCACCTGAACCGCTCTGTGGCGTCGCTGCTCATGCTCATGCTGCAGGTGGATCCACTTAAGAGAGCCACCATCAAAGACATCAGGTGACGAGTTACGCTGCGTTCCGAGTCCAAGCTAATCAGCTGTTTAACTGCTTTGAGCCCCAAGGATTTGCTGTAAAGCCAGTTTGATCCCAGTAGGGAACCAGACGGGGCCTGTGCATGTTGAAAACAACACTTCAACCTCTTTAAACCTGTCGCACATCACGCTGCCCCTCCCGTTGTGGTAGTAAAAGTGAATACCCAAACAAAAAACATTTTTGACGCATTGTAATGATATGCCTTTAGGCAAACTTCTGCAAACACTATAGAAATACACACCTCTCTAAGAGAGGCGATCAAGCTTTCACGTCTGCCTCTGGTACTTCCTCCTTTGGGGATAAAAACGCTTACCACCTCTGATCACTTCTTCTGGAGACTAATCTTTCCTCTCATCTCGTCTTTTCTTTCTAATCTGAAGAAGCCAAAACCTTTTTTAGGCACTGCTTAGGTTTTCTGCTGTAGCTTAATCTGGCCTCTGTTACACATGCTCTCTTTTTAGCGCTGGTAAAATAGTCTTTGGTAGTTAAAGGCGCTATTATTAGTGTGTCCTCTCTTCTGTGCGCTGCTCTTCAGTTTATTCCACAATTTTACCAAAAGCTGTAGAGCGGAAGATTATTTTAGCTGTTTGACTGTTGAGAATCTTGTCACTTGAAAATTCCTACACCAAACATGTTTTTGCAGCTCTTGTACATTAATTATTACTTTTGCACGTGGCTTTTCTTTGTTCCGTCAGGGAACACGAGTGGTTTAAGATGGACCTGCCGGGCTACCTGTTCCCAGAGGACCCGTCGTACGATGCCACCGTGCTGGACGAAGACGCGGTCAGGGAAGTGTGTGAGAAGTTTGAATGCACCGAGTCTGAAGTGGTCTCCAGTCTCTACAGCGGCGATCCACAGGTACCTGGAACCATGTTGTCAGAAAATACGCAACAACTTCTTTATGGGTCGAAACAGCAAATCATCTGGCAATCATTTAGTTATGTCCTCTGCATCCTCTTCCCTCACACCATAAAATATTTAACGTGTGCAATATATTATTTAGAAACTTTCGGGATTCTGTAAATTGAAACAGATTTTCAAAAAAGATCAAACATTTCATTTCCAATTCTGCTTCTGCATTTGTAGGATCAGTTAGCAGTAGCGTATCACCTCATCATAGATAACCGACGCATCATGACCCAGGCCAGCGAGTTCTACTTGGCCTCCAGTCCGCCGCAGGGCTCCTTCATAGAAGAAGGCATGCCGCTGCCCCCCGGCGTCAAACCCCACCCAGAGAGGATGCCCCCGCTTCTGGCCGACAGCCCCAAATCCCGTTGTCCTCTGGATGCCCTGAACACAACCCGGCCCAAACCGCTCGCGGTGAAGAAAGCCAAATGGCACCTGGGGATCAGGAGTCAGAGCAGACCGTATGACATCATGGCTGAGGTGTACAGAGCCATGAAACAACTCAACTTTGACTGGAAGGTAACAGTGTTTTGTTTTTTGCTGTTGTTTTGTGAGGTAAAGAATCGTAATGTAAACGTGCAGGTCCACGTTTGGTTGCTGTTTGACAGGTGGTGAACCCGTATCATCTGCGTGTCTGCCGGAAGAACGCGGTGACGGGAAATCTGGTGAAAATGAGCCTGCAGCTCTACCAGGTTGACAACAGATCCTACCTCCTCGACTTCAAGAGCATCGATGGTAAGTGGTGAACATATTTCTGCTCAAAATGCAAAATTTACAGACATCAACTTCTTTTTCTTAACTTTTGAACAACTGATTGTCAAATAGATAACCTCCATAGTTGCTGTTGAGACTGGATGACCCAAATATATTGCTCTGTGTTAGAGTTCTCTAACTGAGTTTTGGGAAGGTCGCCCTTCTTACTACTGGGTGTGGAAGTTAGATAAAAAACATTCAGCTTTATATTCAGCTGTTATGTATCACAAGAAACATCATGCTTTCACTTGTCATTATTAAACTGACTACCAGGCTTTTAGTAATATTTTGTCAGAAGAGGCAGTTTATACACAAATGAGCCTTTTTTTTAATATCTGCTCTGTATATATTAGATGAAGTGAGAACATGTAGTCAGAAATTAAAGGTGCTTTCACTTTTAGCTCACACACTTTGAGGCCTGCTTCATAAGAATTCAATTACCTGTTACCTAATGCTACTGCATTGTCGATCTGCCGTGACGTCACCCACAGACGACATCATGGAGGCGGTCGGCTTTAAATCTGGGTCGTCCACCCCTCAGCGGTCGGGCTCCACCGCCGGCCTCCACAGACCCCGACTGAGCATCGACTCGGCCAGCCCCGCCATCGACCTGCCCCAGCTCAGCTCCTCCCTGCCGGGCTCGCTGTCCGGCAGCTCCCCACTGCTCGCCGCGCGTCAGGGCTCTCACACCATGGACTTCTTCGAAATGTGCGCCAGCCTCATCACCACGCTGGCTCGCTGAGGACCTGCTAAATCCCGAACTGCCTTGCTAACCCGGGAGTCAGCGGGGGTGATGAGGGGTGATGGCTGCAAAATCTGAGGTCTTTCGACAAACTTGTGGAAGTCAGAGGAAAAAATAAAATAAAATCAAAATAAGGGAGAGGTCAGAACAGGTCGGGTTTACCGTCACAAATCCCCTCAGTTCTTTATCAGCTGCGTCAACATGTAACGACCGGACATCCTGCTGAATCGGCCTCAGACGCTGATCTGAGGTCAGTTCCGCCGCTTGTCTTACCGACGGCTGTTGCAGCTGTCTGGAGGAACATCCCTTCATAGATTTCAAGTTTTATAATGCTAGTACAGAAGCTTTTTGTTATCCATGTATATTTATGTTTTATTGTAGATTGAAATATATACCAAAAAAGAATATTATTTAGATATCAGATTCATATTTATTTTTAGATTTTCTTTTTTAAACCCTAGTTTCATTCGAAACATCTCCACTGAACGAATTATTGCATAATTTAATGAAGCACGTCAGACATTGATTTTTCTGCCTGAAACTGCCCCGCGCCACACACTCATACACACGCACACGCAATCTGACCGCGGCACACGCCTGTGTCATTTCACCCGACGCTCAGCACACTCACAGCCTCTGATAAAGCAAGCTGCCGCTCGGCTTGTCGGCGGCGCCTGAACAGAATTTCATTTTAGAAAAACACAGAGGCCTGCGACATCAGGAAGTCGGCGCTGAGCCAAATAACAACAGATGTGGCTCTGGAACGCTTCAGGGTCACAGGCGTCTTCGTGCTGACTTTTCAAGCCGTGACAAAAACCCTCGAATCGGAGTGAGGCGGTCAATCTGGAGACCAGCAACTCTGCGCGTGTGTGTTTGTGTGTGTCATGTGAGATGGTGTGTCACTGCCGCAGGAGAGCAGAAGCCACAGAAACCTGCCCACAGATGCCTTAAAGAATGCAACGCAACGTTTAGATGAAAGTTTGTTGTGTGCCGAAGGTCAGAGGGAGAGTTCGTCATCCGTTTTACATTTAAAGCCTGGAAGGTCAGAGATGCTGGAGTCAGAGCAATTCGACCTTGATTGTGCACTGTTGCCATCTGAGATGCTGTCTGCCCCGTTTGGTTCCTCTTGACTGTCCCGTCTGCACTGTCACTCTTTTCACTTTCTGAAGCATTTTCTTTGAAACGGTGCAAGCTGTACATTTTAATCCACTGCTGAAACCCTTTATTACTTGCATACCTGCAGCACACATGCAGTTGTTTAACCCAGACTCTCCTCATAACACAGATTCTGTCTACAAATATGCACTGGCCCGCGGCACTGCTGCCCAAAAAAACCCCCAAAACACGGAGCACAAAATCTATGGAAGACGCTAAGGGTTCTACAGAAGAGATGGGTTGGATGAACACAAACTCTTCTCATGTAACCAGTATTTACCAAAAGGTGTAGCTCTCTACCTTTTACAGTTGGCATGTTACTCTTGAATCCTCAGCAACGAGCCAGCAGGCCTCATGAAATACAGATATTACCAAAGGGAGAGTTTTCCACTGCAAAGCTATCCTCTGTTTAGCTGTAGTTAAATGGTGACCTTAAACAACCCCGTCTACGTTGTGTTTGGTGTGTGTGTGTGCACACATTACTTACTGTTATCTTGTACAAAGATGTTTTCCTCTGTCTGTGTGTGTGTGTGTGTGTGTGCTTTCTCCATCTTTGTGTCTAAGATTGGGGTTGGGACCTTGTTATGCACTGCATGATATTACTGTTATGACTTGCACTTTAAGGAGTATTTATTAAAAATAAAAACAAACATGCAAAAACAGCAATGTCGTTATCAAGTGTCTTTCAACTACCGAGCTTTTGCACACTTTTAAGTTTTTACATCGGTTTGTGAGGACGCATCGGAAGCACATGACATGGACACCTGCAGAACCGTTAAATTACAGGAAAGAAAGCTGGATGTTGATGTTTTTATCCAAATGTTAGAACGTTAGGAACACTAAATCCATTCTGAAGTCACACATTTAACATTGCGGTCCTTAGATCTTATGTGATGGAAGGCAGTAAACCGAGCAGTCTGGAATTTTTGAAGTGAGGTTTCCTTGACGTTATCAGCAATTTCTCCTTCACCTTTGTTGGAAAGATGCCATTTTGCAGTGAGTTGTGAAAAAAGTGAATAAGTCCATAGAAATGTGGAAGCTAGTAGCTAACCCAGGCTTAGCAAATTTTTGCAATCTAAACAGGCAACTTTCCAGCGCCACACTGACCTTTCTACTATGGCTGAGGGAACTGTTACTGATAACTTCATTGAATCGCTCTTCAAAATAAAAAAACTATTCTTTTCTACATCAGTGATTATTTAAATATCACAGCAACAATAGATACACATTCTTAAACAAGCTACAGTGGTTATCTGAAGAAAAAGATCCCTGTAAAGTTAAAAACAAACAAACAAACAGTGATTCAAACACTTGGAAATTAAACTGACCAGTTCTGGATAATTCTGTGGAAACTTAAAATTGTTGGAGAAAGCAGAAGGTGGTTATTTATGTCTTGGCTCATTACAAATATTCAGTCCCTTGCAGCAAACCCTGAGACTTCTATAGAGAAGAACGATCCTACTTTTCTTGACGCTTCATGCTTCAAAAGATTCGGGCTCTTGTTGGGTTATTTGAGCTGTGATCCAACTTTGGATTGACAGTTAATCTGAAGAAAAGTTGAATGCAAGACTTCCCTTAGTTTGCATAGAAAAGTAGAAAAACTACAGTTTAATCCTTTACTTCCACCACAAGTTGTACTTTTCTGGTATTGTCCAGCCTGTGTCTGTCTGTCAAGATTTTTATTGTCGCTTTTATGTCTTCTCTTGAGAAAAGGAGACTTCATCAAGGTCCAACGTAAAGAATCCTCACACCAACATCTTCAAGGAACAGCAGTAACAAATCCATTTGCATGGTTCACGCCTCAGTGTATTGATCCATATTTGCGGTTCTCAGATAAATATCAAAGTCGGGAAGATGCCGTTTTTTGTTTTTTTTTGGCCAAGGATCACATGGCTGCAGCTTGACATGGTAGGAAGATCCTGGTCAACGCGGGAGAGTTTTGATTTGCTGGCAGAAACAGAAAGAAGCATTGTTTCAACATATCAGGAAGGCAGGCAGATGTTGGGAGAGTCTGTGTGATTTATCCTCACCTCGCTATACAGCGATGAGTCCGGAATAGAGTCTGCGTACATGTCAGGAGGAGGTAAAATGACGGCCGACGGGTCAAACTCTGTCTCCTGAGTTGAACTTTCCTGTGGCCTGTTTGAAAAAAATATATATTTATCACGACGAAATGCACAATGCACCTACCCATGTTTCTTAATCCCATAAACAAAAGAAAGCAGTATTTCATTTCTCTGGACACAGCTGCCTGAAAACCTGAGATGTGCAGAAGCCGTTCTTTATACCAGGACTGAAAACATTCCTGCTTATCACCACTCATCCATAAAGTTCAAAGACAGGTTTATCATTTCATTAGTCTAAATTTGCATTACAGTGTTTTTCATTTATATTCCATGTTTTTGATGTATGCCTTATTTCTATTCCTTGAAGCCTGGAAATATCCTGTAAAGGAAATGGGTTATAAAAATAAACCTGCCTTGCCTAGCATTGGCTTTATAAGAGTGATGGGTGTTGCTCCATTGAACCTGAGCAATTCTGTTATTTTGTACTGACAAACCAAAAGAAAAACACTTCTAACTTGGGTCTGAATAGGAGGAAATGAGCTGCAGCCTGTGGATTATCAAGTCCTGTCTTACTATCTCGGAAATATGTATATTACTCATTACACACACGCCTGTTTTGTGTAGTGTGTGTCTATTAAGGGGTTAAAATTTGATGTTCTGCCACATCAGGGTGGGGTATGTTGCTTTTAAAGTGTCATCACCGGCTTGTTTGCTTCAGTGTTTAATCTGTGGTCCACTTATCGAAAGTCCAATGCCCAAGACGCGGTCCACGAGTGACCCCGTGTGTTCAAACAATTACGAGCTGTATGAATCGGGATTAAGGTCGCATGATGGAAAATTTCAAACCTAACCTGAAGCCAAAACCTTTTTCTTAAAAAGGCGGACCTTAAACATAGTTACATCAACCTAGTTGATGTAACTAGGCCATGCCTAGTCGCAGTGGTTTGGTCACAATGTGTCTTGATCTGAACAGGACCCAGCTTGTTGGGAGGCTCGGACCTGATTTTCTCTTAGACACACAAACTAACACGTTCAAATCTTTTCCTGCTTAGCGGCTTATTCCGAACAGAAAAAAGAAAGAAGGGAACCTGTCTTTCTACTGGTTGAGCAAGATGTCTGGGATTTTTCTCGTGTGTGTGTGTTAGTTTTGGGCTACTTACGCACTAGCAGCTTCTTCCTGCAGAGGGGTAGGACCTACAGAGAAACCAGGATGAAGATTAAGAAATTATTAAGAAAAAAACCCCAAAAGTAATAAAGCTAACAATTTAAAAATAAGATGGATTGAGCTGAACTTACTCCTCCTTTCTAGTTTGGCCTCACTTGGAAAAAAAGAAAACAAACCCCAACAAAACAAAAACAACAAATGAGTCATCAGTAAAGTTTAAGATGTGCACAGAATCGGGATGTTTATAAAACACCTACCTTGGAACCGGATCCACAGATTTTGAAGAGCTGAAGAATGTCGCCAACTTGTGAAGTGCTTCTTGTCTCGCTCTGGCGCAAAGATAGGCGCACACAATACAGCTTTTTAAAAACGTATTAGTTTTTCGGCTCAAAAGCATCAGAAGACGAACTCACTGGATCTGAGGGCTTTCACTGTGACTGTGCTGGTGGCTTATGTCGAGGTGCTGGTTTCCTTCAAAGAGAAAACAAAACAGAATCAATTACCGTTAACGAGTCGCGATAAAACTACTAATTTTCAGATGACACTGTTAACTTGTTGATGGTTAACAGTTTCCGTTGACACAACCGACATTTTTATCCTTCGAGTCACAAAGCAGTGGTTCAGTTCAAGAGGCATGGAGAGTAATAGGATTTTAAAATCAAACACTTGCCAAACTCTTGTAATAAAATGTGTTTTATTACAACTTTGCATTGTTTTTTCTGTTTTGTTTTGTTTTACAGCAATCTCCAAAAAACACACTCAACAAGTTTGAGTAGAAAAGTTTAAGGGGTATAAATACTTTTGGAAGGTTCTGTAAACTATTTTATTTGTGAGCTAATTATAAAAGTAGGTCAAGTATAAAATTGTCAGATGACACCAAATATGTTGCTGCATGGTTTACTAATGAAAAGGTGTGTAAAACTCATAAAGCAATTCGACCTCAGAGTTCTGCATATTTAAGGACATTTATAGCCTCAAGATGAAACATTTCTGCACCTTTGCCTTGAAAACAATAATCCAAAATGCTGCTTAATTGATCATAACTTAAAGTCCCTTTAAAGATACCGATATATTGATAAAAAGTTTCAGAATCATCTTCCTTTATTCTAGAAACCATAATTTGTGTCGCGGTACGTAAAGAGGTGCAGTTCACGATTTGCCTCCAGTTTACTACAGTGTACAAAATATTATCACGATTGTAGAGCTTCAGGAAATGAACTGTATGGGATTTCATTGACTTGATCAGAATTAACATCTGCCTCCACAGGGTTAGTGAGCCTGTCTAGAAAGCAACAGATATGATGCCTGTCTTACCCATCTCTGGCATGGAGAAAGTCTGTATGTGAATCCTGAGGAGGGAAGAGAAGATAAAAATAAAAAAATGTGATTAAGATGGTAATCAGGGTGCACTGCAAAAACAAAATCTTGCAAAGTATTTGTCTCATCTCGTTAGTACGCTTGAAATAAGACAAAGCTCACTTAAAAGTAACTTTTAAGCATGATATGTAAGCTTGATTTAAGAAATTACTTATTGAATATTAAAAGAAGCACAAGTCCTACATCCAGATACTTTCACTTATAGGAAGATATTTTTCCAGTTATAGGTATTTACTTAAAATATGCCTATTTGCTGAAAAGTTACTTGTAACTTAGTTTTGCCTTATTTTAAGTGCGTAACATGCTTGCTCTCAAAACCAGATGACAATACTTGGTAGGATTTTGTGTTTTTTTCAGAGAGGATGTCAGGTTACCCTGGCAAGTGGTCAGAAGCTTCGGGGTTGGGTGAGAGCGTTTCGTCGTCACAGGTCCACTCCTCGCTGTCATCCGAGACTGAACACATCAAGGACAGCATGAAGGAGCGTTCTGCGTCAAACAGCTGCTGACCGATTTGACGCGCGCTCCAATCAGGAGCGCCACTCGCAAACACTTACAGCTTTCCGGCGAACGACTGAAGTGATTCAGCACCCTGCGAAAGAAACAGAAAGCAGACGCTCGTCGTCAGGACAGCGCCGGCTTCTCCGCCACCTGCTAACGGACTCGCCGTTGAGGCGGGGACACGTACTTGCCGTCCGGGGTGGCTTCGGTCTCGATGACGGCGCTGTTGCGGGGAGTCTTCTTGCCCAGCTCCAAAATCTCCTTAAAGTCCATCTCCACGTGATCCACAGAAACGTACCCGTCTAGAGTGAACAAACAGAGATTTGTTTTGAAGGCGAGTCGCTTCGTCGCGTTCTCTTTCCCAGAGACGAACGCTCTGCTGTCGGCTCACAGGTGTTGCTGCCGTCCCTGGCCAGCCACTTCCCCTTGGGGCACTCGGTGGTTCGGATGATGCTGATGACGTCGCCGCTCTTGACGGGCAGATCGTGCTTACGGCCCTTCGTGGTGACCTTTACCTTTGCCTGGTACATGGCTTCCTCCTGCCCTGTGACCTGAAACACACAAACGGAGACGTTGCACGGTGGCCCTGCTTTAACACAGCCAAGTAGTTATGCTATGCAAATCAAATCAAACCTAGCGGGATCATTTAGCACTAATTCAAGGGAAAAGAAAATGAGTACACAAGTCACCACTGTGCTCACTGAAGAACACTGCATTAACAAGTGGAACCACTATAAACACCCTAAATGAACGGTTTGCACAGAAAGTGACTGAGTTGAAATAGGGGCCTGGGAGGGGAAGGGTCAATGTCTGAACTAACAACAAGTGAGACGGGTCACGGCTCAGATTGACGCTTTGGTTCAGGACACTTGGGCAAAAATGTTTTCAGATATTTCTTAATGTTAATTTGTCGTTTAGCTTCGTACAAACTATAAAAAAACTTTGCAACCACATCAGGACCAGCAACCTGCAGTAAAGTGATGTGTCATGGGGAAAAAAAAAAAAAAACTCATCAGAAAGCAATTTGATGGGATTCCAGGTATGAAGCCCAAACCAGTTTGACGTGGAAAAATTGTGAAACTCTGCTAATTATTATTATTTTTTCCATCTAGTGTTTTGTTCATTTCTATCATAACACATTAAGAGACGTTTCCGTCTCTGTTTTAGGGCTGCTCCTCGAACGACTTTAGATCTGTGCTTTCCCAGTGGGAGTTACAATGAAGCAAGCGATGCCCTCTTTGCATCACCACAACGCTAAAGCATATTTATGCTAAAAATGTAGAATAAGTGAAATAAAAAAAGAAGTGTAATTTGATAAAGGTGTCCGTTCGCGACTGTATGCATGCTGTCTGAACCAGATATCACCGATCTTGAAATTATAATTGGACTTAAAAAACAGACAGAAAATACCCACTGAGGAAAACAGACACTCGAACACGGCCGTTGAAACCAGTTTGCAAGAAATGATTCATTTCTTTGTGTCTCGCCCATCGTCTGATGCTATTCAGGACCGGTGATTAAACATTTGATTAAAATCCTGAAAGGCCTTTTATCATCCGGTCTGCGTGGAAACTAAAGTCTTGCTCCAACATTTCTGCTCCATAAACAGAGGTCTGAGTTAAAATCTCTAATGTGAGGAAGGTGTTGCCAGCGGTGAAACTCGTGTTTAGTCATGCTGCAAATGTTGCTCAGCTCTTGCGCGGCGAGGAATGAATCCTGACAGGTTTGAGAGGCCAGACATTTGCTCCACCCTCCTCCTCTGCCACTCAGTCGCCTTCCACGCCTCCTACCTGCCTCTTTCTGTTTTCTGTCCAAGTAACAGGACTCACATTGAATTTTTTCTTCATCTCGTTCTCCTTCTTCTCCCTCTCCTTCTGCTCTTTCTTCTCCCGCTCCTGCCTCTCCTTCAGCTCCTTCTTCTCCTTCTCCAGCCGCTGCTTCTCCTTCTTCTTCAGCTCCTTCTCATCCGGCTTTTCTGAGGCGTGCTTCTTCTCGCTCCTGCGGGAAGAGGAGACGTCATTGTCCTTAACCAAAGTTGTTTTTCCTGTCTGAGCGGCAGGGGGTGATTACAAGGGAGGGAAACACGACTCTCTCCTCAGAAACACTCGGCAGAAAAGGAGGAATGAAAACTGGAGAAGTGGGTCCAAAAAAATACCCCAACAACAACAAGGTCCTACCTGCCGAACCTGCTCGTCTTGGTTTTCTCCTGAAACTGTAAATATTCACAGAGATGAGAATTAATTTGCGCTAGATAAAAACAAAAAGACATTACGCCTCTGATTTCGAAGGTGAATGTCCTTTGAGAGTATCAGACAAAACTTTTTCACATTTCATCACATTGCAGCCACAGGATATATGCATTTTCTGAAATTTCTGAACCTATTTAGAGAATAAACTCCACCCGTGACCAGGAAAGACAAAAAGGAGTCCAATGTGGGATGCAGATTTTGAAATATAAACACTCGACAAGTTTCACTTTAGTACATCTGAGATGCTTAACAGAGCAGCGTCACCTCTGTCATTAAAGGCGACTGAGGATGTGGTGACAAGAAAAGTGGCGGGGGATAACAGAGAAGAATTGTAACACGACAGAAAAAAAAACGTGATGCAGATAAGCGAGGTTGATTTTGAGGAATGTCGTGATTTAATGCACTTCTTGGAGCGAAGGTGTCGCACGTTTCATTCTTTTCAAAGTTTTTTTGTTCAGCAACCTAAAAATACGTTTAATGAGGTGAGAAAACCACAATTTTCTATTTATTCAGTCAGTATTTAATAGAGCTGACACAAATAATGATACAATTTCAGAATTTTTTTTCTTTTATTCAATATATTATGGGAAAATTTACGTGTTACGGAAAGATGGTCGACCCCCGTGATACGAGAGAAAACACGTTTTTAAGAAAACGTCCTCTTAAAAATGAATCGTTTGTCGATCGATGAGATTGGTCAACTTTAGATTAACTCATTCATATATAACTTGCACCTGTAAATCCATCTTTTATGGTCAGAATGTCAAAAGGAAATGAAATGTTTAAAGAAATCCACAAGACTTTTTGGATGCAGTTTGTGAATCAGACACGACAAAGAAGCAAAACGAACGAGTGGCAGAAAACTAACAGTGCTCACCACAACAGTGACGCAGCCAGAGCTACAACAGAACGACTGATGGCTCAGTCAAAGTCAGGGCCAAAATCCAAATGAAAATCTGAGGAAAATCTTTTAAAAAATTGATTAGGTGATCACTCTCCATTCAATCTGACTGCAGTATTTAGAAAAGTGGGAAAAAAAATTCAGTTTCGATATATGTAACTCTAGTCGAGATGTAACCCAAAATCTGGATCTGCAGTTGCAACATGACAAAGGTGAACATGCAGGAACTCTAACAAGACTTTAAACTCCTACCGTTTCCTGTCCAGTCTCCACATATGGATCTGTGAATCAAAGCAAACACAAGGTCACGTTTCGACTTGTACTTGTAAATGCAAAACCCCCCACAAAAGTCCAGTATATTTTTTCCAGAATTCAACTTTTCCAGTCAGTTCTCCAAAATGTAATATCGATTTCTAGCTTAAGAATGTATTAAATAAGAAGAATGTGTAAGACTCACTTTTTGGGGCCTCTTTGCGTTTCTTGCCATTGCCGCTCTTCGCCTTCTTTTTGCTGGAGCTGATGTTAATGGACTCGTACACGTCGTCGTTGCTTTCGTAGATGTTTTGGAGTTGTACTTGAGGGCTTCAAAGAACAAAATATTGATTAACACAGTTTCGTGGGGTGCAACTCGCCACTTTAAATTGAACAGATATATAGCTGAACTTCCTGATCTTACTCCTCAGCGGGTTTTAGGGATTGTTCCTGCAGAGGAGTGTCCAGCTTAATTTCTCCATATGCTGTTTTAGTCTGGCCCTCTGTTTCTGGATGAGTTGTCCCGTTGCCATAAAACTCTGCCTGGGTTGGTTCGTCTGGAACGTCGGGACCCATGTGCTCCTCATTCCCACGATCGGACACCGGCAGCTCCGGGCTGTAGACATCCTCCAAATCCTCAAATCCTGGAACGTCTGCGACTTCGGCCTCTGAAAACTCAAGTGGAACCGGTATCTCTGCGTGGCAGAGATAGAGAAATGCATCCCAGAGTGAATGGAAAGGATTTACAAGTGCAATGTCGGTGGATGTGAAACTACCTTGAGGTATAATAGGAGTAGGGGGGATGTATTGACTCAAGTTGGCAGACTGAGGTCTTTTGGGTTTCTCTGGAGCCTTTCGTTCTGGTAGAACATCTCTGGGTGGAGGAGCAGCGACTGCAACTAGAGGAGGGTTAGACCCCTCCTCCACGAGGCTTTGCAATGCCGGAGAAGCTGCCCCTGTGAGAAATCACATCACGATAGTTTACATTTGTTCAGCTGATTTACACGTTAAAGTCTCACATTGAAGGGACAGCTTGAATTTGCTGACATGAGGTTTTGTAGTTGTTGTCTTTCTTTTAGTACAAAGGAGTCATATCACCATGACTATGTGGAAAAGACATGTTCATACCAGAGGAAGGCTAACAGCTGGTCACACAGACTCATACTTTATCCAGTGTTTTCTCAGCCTAGCTACAAATGTGTTTCTACACAAGGTTATGCTACACACTTCTCAGAAAGTGTTCCTTTCTTGGTATCTTAGTAGCTAATAGAGCTAATTTGAAAATGTAAACAAAACCTGCATCATAGTTACTTTGCATGCTAGCATGTATGCTAACAGTCAGACAGGAACCCCCCCGCTTGACCTGATCATTAGAAATTTGACCCAAACCAAAGAGGCCAGTCAGTCCACCAGGAATGTGAAAACAACTCCAACACCTGCAAATCCATGTCTATATGTGGAGTTATCTGTTAAGTTAGCGTGTATGCTAATAATAGCCAGTTGGCTTGGTTTTACTCAGAGCTACTGATCACAGCCAGCAGGCCAAAATAAGAAATCTACAAAGAAAAAGTTAACGCTTTTGTTAAAGTGCTGATTGCTAATACTGGTTAATACAGTGTTTTATTTAAATGTAAATTTCTAAAAATCAGTTGCAAAACGCCGGTTTGATCAGCTGTCATCTTTCCGCTGCTTTGATGATTTCTTCACTTTTTCTACAAACTAACAGTGATACGAAATGTTCCGCTGCAGAAAACAGAACCATTAATTTCCTTAATACAAATGCTTCTTGAGTTCTTATAAATGAAGGTTAAAAACCCCATTTAGTTAAGAGTTGATTGTTCTATGTATAATGTTACGTGAAACATCAAAAATTGTGCTTTGTAATCTAGTTTTCCTTGATTTAGCATTACAATGAACTCCTTTTTTTGTTTTCATAATGGAAAGCTTTTGGAATTATCTTGTTTGCTGAAATGTTCTGATAAATGAAGTTGCCGTGTTTATTTTCGTAGGACCTCACATTATGCCAATGTAACACATCCCTTTAAAACTCAACAGCCTGCGCTATGAAATCAGGAAGAGAGGAAGAAAAAACAACTGGGACGGGAAACTGATTTTACATGGAAACCCAACTGGTCAAACAATGTGGAGGTTGTTGTCTTTAGTCATACATTTGTCAGTACAAAGTCTTCCTTGTATTGTGTCTGGTCTACTTTCAAGTTTTCTGACTTAGTTTTCTGCTCCAGAGAAGATAAAAATATAGAAAAGGTAAGAGTACAAAATAAAAATTAATAAATTAATTCTTGAGCTGGATATAAAATTTCCCCGAGAGTCTAGTTTAAATTTGAGTCCTGCTTGTCAGACTTTAAAGAAACTCAGCAGCTCTATCATAGCTGTCATACCTTCACACCTCAGCTCAGTTGTTTCTGGCACTGAAGAAGAATGTTAGGTCTATTGTTTGTGTGGGTAGTATCACAGATTTATTCTGACACCTATACATGAATGCCACCACGCTTTTGGTTCAATTTAAACCTTTCAAATTCTGTCGCAATCCAGCACATACCTGAGATCCTGATCATTGGGAAGTTTGTTCTGCTCGTCACGTTGAGGTGAAACAGATTCAGACTAAAAGACACAAAGCTGAGCTGAAACTCACTGTGATCAGGGCCGTTAACGTCTGCTTTGATTGACGGGAGTTTCTTTCCCTCATCCTCGAAGGGCGGGAACTCGGCATCGCTGAGGGCGGGATTCAGGTGAGATGGAAAGTCTTCGGGTGGAGGAGTGGGGCTAGACATGGGGCTGGAAGCAGACGAAGTATACTTGTAAGTGATCATTTGCATACGAAACTTGGCTAAATGAACCAAGCTCCTAGAAGGGAGTTCTACCTGGAGGTCTTCTTGCGCACCTTCTCTAGAGCACTTAAGATCCTTTGGTCATTCGGAGGGGTTCTCTTCCCACTATTCATGTCCTCCGCCCTCCCCAGGGCGGACAGGGCAGAGATGGGACGTTCTTGTTTGGAAGGAGAAGAGTCCATCGCTTCCACTGCAGCTGAAAGTGCCACCTCCACGTCAGAACCAGCTACTGTCTGGAGCTCGGTGGAGGGAGCAGAGAACTTGGGGAAAGGATCACAGTTGGCAAAACTCGGTGGAGGAGATAAAATAGCTGCGGGTGAGTCACAGACAGCTCTGGGTGGAGGGGAAAGAGGAGCAGTGGATGGAGGAGAAGGATCCACGACATCTGAAGGGGAGGGAGTCACAACGGTTAGAGAGGAGGGACTTGCAAGTGGAGAAGAGGGAGCAGGAATGGTTGGGCGACGGGGAGCGTCAGTGGAAGGAATGGGAACAATTTGGTTTTGGCCGGGCAGGTCAGAAACTGACAAAGCAGGACTTTCAAGCTGAGGTGGGGTTCCACTCTGTGGTGGTGGGATTTTGAAAGCTGGGGTAGCTGGGATCATGGCAGGCGGAGGAGAGAAGTCGGGAGGGTCGGGAATTGGAGAGAGGGGTGTCTGGTCCGCTGTAGCATTGGATTCAGGGATGGTGATCTTTCGTGGGATCTGCTTCGGTACCGAGTATATAGACTCCTCCTCGTCAGCATCAGAAGCCAATGGGATCAGCGGTGTAGCTCCAGGAAGGTTCACGCTTGGAGAGTCTAGGATTGAGTCAGCTGAGGTCCCTGCTGGATCCTTCTTGGAAGACTTCATGAAACCCAGAATATTCTTCTTCTTGTGTGTTTTGGCCTTCGGAGGAAGCGAGGCTGGCTCCTGCTCGGCTGTGCTCTCCTTCTGTGTCCCAAAGAGCGGAAGCTTCTTTCCGTTCTTCTCCTTGTGAGGCAATGAGGATTCATTCAACTTCTCCTTGCTTTCCTTTGTCTTCCCATCAGATTTGTCTTTGGGTTTTGAGTTACCATGGCCAAAAATCTTCTTGCTGTCCTTGTTCTCATCCTTGAATACCACATTGGGGCCATTGATCGACTTTGATTCCAAGGCCTGGTTGATGGAGGAGATCAGGGAGGGGCGTGCACCAGGGGGAAGGTGCTGTGTGGGGCTAAGGGGAGGAGGGATGACCTTTGGCTTCTCAGGGACAACAGGTTTGTGCTTCGGCGGCCCCAGCAGGAATTCTTTGTCCTGGAACTTGGCCCTCAGCGCCTGGAAGTCTAACGGAGCCTCTTGCTAAAAGTGTCAGACAAAAAGTGAAACAACTATCTTTCAGCAGCATATTCTGGATTACAAAGTCTACGCACAACATTTACTGAGTCAACACATTTGTTTTTATTTCTGATCTTATGTCATAGAAACATGTACGCATAAATTTTTGCCCTGAGGGAGAATTGTACAGAATGTGGGTGGGTAACTCCCCCTCCCACACACACCCTATTTTTTTTTTTGTTTCATAAACACATTTTGCCACATTTGACATTTATCCAAATTTGGGTTTTAACGTGATTCTGCTCCTTTTTCATATGAAAGGTGTTGGAAATATTTTGCAGATGGCATATTGTTTTAATGGTTCGATAAAAACAAACAATCCCGCTATTTTTAGTTTATAAATGCCTCAGCCTTTATAGTTTTGTGAATTTCTGTTACACGAAAATAAGAAAGGCAAGTGGCATGAGCCTCCATGCTATATATATATATATATAATTTTTATTTTATTTTTTTAAATCAGGCCTGATAGGCCCGATTTAAAATGACCAGTTTGAGCGAGATTTAGTTTAGATTTAGCTTCTGTTGAAACATTTAAACTGGAGGCCTTAACATACAGCAGCTGAACACGTGTCTCTCTACCTGAACAATATTTATCGTAATACGTAACGCGGCTCATTTAAGCCAACTCACCTCATCCATCGCCAAGTTTTAAATCCAAAAAATAAATAAATAACGAAAGAGAGAGAGAGAAAAAAATATCTCCAAATAATTGTCTTCTTCAGCCTCGCATTCTGGTTGCGACTTCAGTGTCAGTTAATTATGTTTAAAAGAGGAAATTGAGATGTTTTTTCCACTCTGCATCCGGACCCACAGCGCGCTCCTTTGTGCGTCCAGGACGCGCGCAGAATGTGGTTTCTGGGTTGGAACCAACCGGGTTGGAGGCGAACAACTCACTCGTCGTGTGGCAGAAAACAGTCCAGCTCGACAAACGGGTCTGGCTGAGGTTGACGTAACTCGGTGGCTCTCGGATAGTTCTTTTTCTTCTCCTTCTTCTTCTGCAAGACTGAACACAGGTGGAATGCCACCAGGCTGGAGCTGCATGCCCGCAGTGACTCACCAACACGAGTCTTTCTTTATGGAAAAGTTTCCCTCATAACCGTCACTTCGTCATTTAGACAACTAAAATAATAATAAGAATAAAAAAAAAAACAACAAAAAAAAACAACAGTTTTTAAAACTTTATTTTTTTTTTAGTGTAAGTCAAATCTGTGTGCAAAGTGTGACTCTTCTAGATTAAATGAGAGTTGGGAAAAAAAATTAGGCAACAGAGGTCAGGCAACATTCCAGCTCTGTTCAAGAATGCAGAAGTACTTAGAAAAGTATTTCTAATATGCATAAGTAAATACACCACCTGGCACAGATATATCTGTATTACAGCTTTGAACGCTATGGAGACGTTCTACCAAACAGAACTGAAAGTGACAGATAATCAGGGAGTATCTGAGGCCTCTGACCCTGAACCACTGAAGTCCACTTCTGTTTATTCAGCCAAGAGGTCCACTTGTCTGACATCTGAAATGTTGAGCTCTGTTGCCTGCTCCTGTTGAATCCACCCAATTCCCTGCTTTTGCTTGGATATTACCCAAACGTCACTGCTGACAACACTCCTCAAAGAAATATACCGACGGCAAACATGTCGTATCGTGGCGTTTCTGGATTTACATGAACTGACAAATGAAATAAATCGCCTCCTAAACAACAACTTGGTTACCTACGTCACAAAACTGCTTCTGGGTGGTGGACACTGATGACTGTATTGAAACAAAAAGGGCTTGGCTAATCTGAAACCACCTGGGCAACCAGGTGCCACAACGGCAGTGAAGCAAGACTATATCTGTAAACTGTCACAGGAAATGGAAAAGGGCGTGCCAACGCTGCTATGACGTCAGCAGCAAACCATCTTGCCGACACGTTCCTACCACCTCACTAAGGGTTGGCATTTGAATGGGATTCGGAAACCTGAGACATCCCAGCTCATATGTTTTTGGACATGTACCTATTTAATGTCAGTCCTACAAATGTCAAGAGTTTTTTTTAACTTTCTACAAAATGTAATAAAAATAAATATTCAGCTGAGCAAGAATATTTGCATCCTTTCATTTAACTCTTACGGGAAGCCTATATTTTCTATCTTTATCTTTTCTAAGAAAAATTCAGAGTTACATTTGACACAGAGCGCAGACAAAGACCAGGATTGGTGGAATGATGTTCTTTGGAGAGATGAATTTAAAAACCGAAATGTCTGGACAGAAGAACAGATGGACATGCCTGGCCAAAAACCAAACAACATTCCAGGAAAGTGACCTCACACCAACTGGGATGCGTGGAGGTGGATGTTTGCGGGATGCTTGAGGCGCAAGCATAGCAATACTAAAAAGCAAACTAGGACTGGTTTAAGAGTAAAGAAAATCAAAGTCCCTGGCAGAATCAACACCGAGACGTTTTCTCTGTTAAGTTGTTGGAGTGAACTGAACCAGCCAGAATAATAATAATAATAATAATTCTGCAGGGAAGTTTGCAATGCATCCTGAGCCAGAAGGAAAGGGGAAGTTTGCTCAGGTCCTTGCTTTGGACTCGCGTGGCAATAAAACTCATGACAGCTTGGATCAGGGGTCGCCTGTGCAGCAGATTGTGACAGGTCATTAAAACAGTGTTAAATTACAACTTGAATGCTGTGGCACTCGCTTAATAGTAACTAAAGACACGCTGAGGGGAGCGGGGTCACCCCTGGCAGCTACACCCCATTAGGCTCACACTCTCTTACTCAAACACACCGAAAGTCAGAGGCAATAAAAAGATGAATCATTTGGGGAGTGTTTATTTGTAACAGGTAATAATTACATGGTGGAATACGGAAATCAAGATAGAACCCCAAAAAAAAAAAAAAGAACAAAAAAATTCATCTAAAAACCCACTGTAGAATGTCATATTCAATAAAGATAAAAATAATGCTTCAATTTACATTAAGAAAGTGTTAGCTGAGGTAAAGTTAAAATAGGTCTAGAAATGTTATGTACTCAAACAGCAACGGTTCCCTTTGTCTTTATTATTCAGCGTCTTTCCTCACCTTCTAGTAGTGTCAGAGTTTGTCTAGTAGTGTCAGAGTTTGGGATTTTGTTATCCCAAGTCCAAAAGAGCTTTCGAGTGGCGTGGGGACACTGGCCATAAAATAGGGATATATTGGCATCACAGTTAACGAAGCTGTAGCGGGAGGACGGAGGGGGCGATACAGTGGGAATTCGGCACCTGAAAAGGGGGCAATGAACGATGGAGGCTCGCAGACATGGCTGCAGTCAGTCGGTGCTGCCTGCAACACAGTAACGAATATTTTGAGGTTGGAAAAAGCGCAGGGCTGTGCCTCGTCGGGGAGGGTGTTGAGCGCAAACACAAACTGTAGAAGCCAATATGCTTTGTTCATAAACGTAATCTGCAGTGACGGGACCTCAGAGGACAAAGCGGGTCGGTGGCGCGCGACTTAAGAGCTGGGAATCATCGAGTGACTCTCGTTTAAAAAGCTGCATGGAAAAAAAACAACAACAAAAAAAAAAACGACGCAGCGCGGAGCTGAAGCTGCAAACATAAAGCGAACTGGGAGAGAAAGAAAAAGAAAACAACAACAAAAAACATGCAGTGCTTTGCAAAAATATTCACAACACAGGATGTTTTGACATTTTGTCACATTGCAACCTCAAACCTGAAAATATATCGAGGGGGGGCAGAGTAGAAGGGGAAAAGGGGGGATATATTTTGCAAAATGTCAACACGGAATAATGCATGAATGTGGAAGAAAAGGCAAATGTGGTTTTCAGCTTTTGTACTTACGAGTAAAAACCTAATGAGCTCAGCGTGGATTAACTATCCTAAACCATTTTACTAATTACGTGACATCCCAAGGATGAACTGCATTGGAAGCTGAACACAAATACGTTCAATTAAAGGGACTAGCTTTTATTCAGGCAAATGAGTAAAGGGGACTGAATACTGTGAGGCACTGCCAGAGTCTGCCAGGACTCTATTCCCTAATCAGGTGACTTCTAAAGCCAAACGGTCTTCATTTGGGTTATGAGAGTAAAAGCTGAGTGCACATTCAGTAGAAACCACCTTTTACGTGAATTTGTTTTCATATGCGTGAACTGTGGAAAGCAATCGGTAGTGCCAGATTCTATACTAGGGGAGTCCAGTAGATGAGAGAAAAGACACAGACGCACAACCTTTCAGATCTGAATTGGTGGCGAAACTTTAAAATAATGTCATCTTTTCTTTCCACTTCACAAATGTGCATCACTTCGTGTTGGTCTGCCTCCTAGAATCGCAACAAAATACGATAAAGTTTGTGGTTGTAAGGAGACAAAGTGTTAAAAAGAAAAAAAAAACAAAAGTCAGGTGTATGAATACCTCTGCAAGGCACTGTGTGTTGGTATTGCTTGGATTAACATCACGACTTTTGCATAACCGAAGCCTTCCCATTTTATGGCACAGACGTCCAGCGGACAGAATGGTCGTCGTTCTCATTATTTACAAAAAATGAGTTTTGGCAAATCAACGCTCAGATGCCTTAAAGCCATGTTGACTCTATATTACCCGGTAGAGCTGACTCCAGCGGCTTGATTGACTTTATAAAATAAAAATTTAATTTTCCCAGGTTGATCTGTCTTTTTTCCTTTTTAAACCATTATTGTACAAAAGCTATAGAGAATGAAGAGTTCAATCACAGAATCTGTTTCAACTCGCAACTCTTCCCTCCCGGGGTCCATTCCTCCACCAGCGGTCCAGTTCGCCAGTCTGGCTGTGCGCCGCAGAGACGTTTGGCAAATTACTGCCTGTACGCATGTTACACAAGGTGTGGCATGGCTCTGTGTGTGTGTGTGTGTGTGTGTGTGTGTGTGTGTGTGTAGGTGTGTGTGTGTCTTGCATGTAGGCTCACTGCTGTGTGCAAAGGATGCGTGGAGTTGGTGTGTGAGTAGCTCCCAGAGAGTCTGATTCTGCATAGTGATCCAGCAGACACTCACAAGTAAGGGGAAGAAAGTACCCAAAAATCAATCAACCAACCAATCAGAAGCAGTTATCCCCTCCCTCCCCCGGTAACGGGCCATCCCTAAGAGTCTAGGCACCTCCCCGAGGGATCGCCTCGCTAGACGGATGCAGGTTCTGTCCGTTACACACGACGAATGCGAAGTGTGTGTGCGTGTGTGTGCGTGTTGCAAACAGGGAGGCACTGCTCGACTCAGTCTCTTCCAGGCAGCAGAGTCTCTGGTCAGACGCGATAGGCAGCGGAAAGGGTGTGAAAGTGACAGAAGGAGGGAAAGGAGGGAGAGGAGTGGCTCGTGTCCATAAGGCTGGGTGTGAGTCGCCGAAGGGGAGAGGCGAGAGGAGCGGAGAAGACAGCGTGGCGGAGGGAGAGCTGGACCTGTCTGGGTGATGGATGTCCCTCCTGCCTGTGGAGAATGACTGAGAGGGCTCGCTCCTCTGAGGAGGAGGAACGACTGCAGAGAGGAGGAAGAGGCGTGTGGGAGTGTTGAAGCTCCTCCTGGGAGGTTGTTAGCAGGAAAAGAAGATGAAGGGCTTGGCCAGGCGGGGATGTGCCAGACATGCACGTACACGCAAACACACACATACACGCACGCACGCTCAGAGGTAAAGGGTTCTCCTCCTGTTCACTCAGTGCTGGTCAGGTCTGTCTTCCTGGGTATCTCTTTATTTCTTCCCCTTGTTGATCTGGGCGTAGAGAGGATCCTTCCCCTTCTGCTGATGAGATGGAGAGAAAACAGAAAGTCAGATGCGTTTTTCTTTGCATAGCCGTAAACATCATAAACCCACAAGCCGTGACAGGTGCAATCCAGGGCTGCGTCGGTCGTTTCTGACTCCGCCACCAGGTGTCAGTAGCGCATTTCCCTAAAACCCAGACTTCAGTCAGTTCTTCCTTCATCCACTTTTTTTTATTAAAAAAAAAAAAAAAACATTCGTTATTGTTTCTGTGCGTTTGCTTCCACCTTGGGCTCACATCCAGGACATATAAACCAGAGGCTCTGAAAGACCCGGTTACTCGTCGTCACGTTTGAGTTGCCCTCCGAGAAGATGATGGTGCAGGGTGGAAGACCCCACAGCCGGAGCACCGAGGCCCGCTGCACAACGCTCACCTCTGGGCGGTTATTACCGCGCACGTAATTACAGACCGCCATAATTCAGTCTGGCACACCGGCAGCTTGATCTGGAGCCGGCCTGCTATATCGAATCTCTCCCTCTCAAAGAGCAGCAAAGGATTTAGAGGTTGAAGTCGAACCTCTGAGGAGGCAGGAGCTGCTCATACTGAATGGTAGCTACCATTCAGTATTAATGGTTTCTAACATTGGTCATGTTAGAAACTCGACATTAGTGTACTATTTCAGATAAAACTCTCAAAACAAACTGTGAGGTAGAAGGAACTGATACAAACTCGGAAACCAAACCCAGGGTCGTGCAACCTTTACCGTCCATATTTGCTCTCAGTCCAGCTGAATAAAACACTTTCAGAGCCACAAAAGTTACTTGATCTTTTTGATGAAAAAATATATCATTTCTAATACACATGTATTGCAGAATATTAGTTATTTTTAAACCACCACTATTTCATGTCCTACATGTAGGTTATAAAACAGACAATTTGCAGATAATAGACAGATGGATGTTATTCTGTAGCAGGTTTGTCGAACCCATTTGTATTTTGGGTCACATTCAGATCACGAATGTCCTCAAAGGGCTGGTTGTGCCAGAGACTGTACTAATAAATCTACTAATTAAACTGTTAAAAGTATTTTAGCTGTTTCTGCATTCAATGACTGCTTCTTGAAATACTATTTCTTATCTTTTCACATTGATGGAATTTGGCAAATAAAAACTGAGTTGACTTAATTGTGATCTTAAAGTTACATTTCTTTGGTCTTCTGAGGCCTCGAGGGCCACAGAAATAATTGTGGTGGACCGGATTTGGCCTGCAGACCCCGAGTTTGACAAGTTTTCTATGCTGGTCAATGTTTATGGAAAGATTTTATTTTATTTTTTTTGATCATTTCAACCAAATGACCAGAAACACGGGCACTTTTAGTCTCATTCTGTGAACATGCAAGACAAGAACTCTATGAAAACTCTGCTTAGACCCACATTTCTATAACTGATAACACTAGTTGCTTCTCTGTCATTTTTAGCCAGTTATGAAGAGCCACTGCGTGAGGTCCAGAGAGCTACTTGTGGCTCCAGAGCCACAGGATGCAGAACCGATACTTTCTAGAACCACCGTTTCTGCATTTTAATGTGCCACTGATACTTAGAAGGTATCACAAATGATTACAGATTGATAATAGAAAATTGCACATCAAAAGTATCAGGATGAAAGTTAAGAAAACTGCAAGAAAGCCCTAAAACACCGTTTCATGATTCTCACAGCAGCAGGGTCTGAGGCTGGGCCATCAACCTCGACTGTGGGCTGTAAATGTGGCAGTGGCCAAGGCCAAGCAGTCAGCAGAAAGTAGCTGCCTGCAGCCCTGAGAGAAGTGACAGAGGGGCTGAGACGAGCAGTGACAGCGAGCACACACTTCACGATCAGCCAACGCAGCACCGCCACCGCCCTGCAGCGTCGCCTCGCGTCCGCCCGGCGCTGCCAGGCGAGGCCACTTCATCCCGGGCCAAGACGGAGCGGGGATGGGAGGAGGGGAGGGATGATGGAGGCTCGGCGGCGGTATGAGTGATGTGCTGACGTGGCCGACCTGGAGGCCGAAGAGTCTGATCTACCTTTGTGTGTGTGTGCGATTTTATTAGCGAACCGTGGAAACCGGTCATTTCACGGTAGACACCAGAGAGCAATCGCTGGACATGATGAGATGACCCGAGAAAGAAAAAAAAAAACAAAACAAAAAAACGTTTAACTCTCCCACCAGCCTGGGTGGGGCCCGGCTTTTGGCTCCGATCCGAGAGCAGGTGGCGAAAGCATCGATCACAGGTGTTTTCGTCCGGGGAACGGGCCGAGCTTATTGGACAGGTGTGTGTTTGGGAAAATGTCTGAAGTCGATGTGATTGAGCAAGTAAACGCCAGATGGGAGCGGCGCTGCTGGACCAGAGCAGGTTCGGCTCCCGCAGAAGGAGGAGGCTTCAAGTTTCAGCCAGACTCAGTGCTCAGGACCCCACATCCACCTGCTGCCCTGCAGAACCAGGGTCCAAAAGAAAAAAAAAATGAACTGGGAAGGGGGAGACTTGCTGCTCAGCCAGCCCTCCACCTCCTCCTCTTCTGGAATCAGAAGGCACTTCAGGGCTTCTTCTGCTTTAATTAATGCCAATTATATGGGGCTAGTCATTAATCTTGGCACCCAAGTATTAGCTGATGAAAACAAAACCATTCGATTTTTTTTCCCAGTGTGAGTGCCAGCAGCTATCATTAAGGAGCCGCTGTTGAGAACCGTGTGGGTGAGGACGCCGGGCGGGGAGGCAGGGGATCAAAATGGCTCTCCTCTTTGGAGTGTGTGTGGGTCTCTCTCTCTTTCTGTGACTTATTAAATAAGCATACTGCACCTCCACATGTTCCTGGCTGAAATTTCCAGCCAATGGAAGGATTATTTTAGCTTGTCTATACGAGTTTCGTCATTTCTAGCGGCGGCGAGCGCATGACCTGTTAGATTACATATATAATTCATAGCATGTCAGCATAGATCACGGTTTCCCTGAGCAAAGAATCCAAGATTAACATATTGTGCTGAAATCCCAGCAGATGAGATGCTCATCCGAGTGCACAGTTTGTGATTAGCTGTCACGCTGTCTGTCCCTCGGAGATGTGCGCTATTTACCGATCCGGGTGTGAATGCAGGACATAATGGGAGCACAACTGCAACAGCGGTGATGCACAGAAGGTCTTTACAGTTTGCATCAAATGTCACATATGCAGCGCCTCTGGTCTTACAGAGCATCTATTAACCTTGAGCTTCATCACATTTGATCTCAGTGCAACCAGTGTGCACAAATGTATTTTATGCAACAGACCAACACAAAGTGCAACGATATTTTGTCATGGAATGAAAATGATAATTATTTACACTGACTGGTTGGGGAGCACAGATGCCGCGAATGGCTACAATTTGCGAATGTTTGAAACCTCTTCCTAAAATGCCTCTTGTAATAGTTCAACCACCAAATATACTTTAATATTCATCAGTATTCAGAGTGTAAATTATCCACATGCAGTGTTGGATGATGCTGTTGTATTGTAGTGACAAAGCTCAGCAATTCACTGCAAAGCCACAAAATCTCATCAAGTTCTATGGTAAGATGTTGGTCTAGCTTTCAGTGCAAATATCTTAGCACACTTGAAAAAACTAACTTAGTTTTCAGCAAAATGTTCGAGCTTAGTTTAAGTAAATCATTTCTTTCAAAAAGTACGAGTTAACAACATGGGAAAAATGTCTCGTCATAAATATATAGTACTTTTTAAAAATAAATATTAAGGAATTAGCAACTGAAAACAAGCTCCTATATCTTGCTGAAAAGCTACTTGTAAGTTAGTTCAAATGTGCAAAGACATGTGGCACTAGAAACTAAACAAAAACATTTGCTAAGGTTTTGTGTTCTTGCGGCATTTTCTCCTCCAGCCAAATGGTGGCGCTGCAGATTGTCATTGTCTTTGGTTCCACAGATGACCAGGCTTTCACGTTAGAAGGTCTACAGAAAGTGACTCTTCCATGTGATGGGTTCAATTTTCCAAGATTTGCTGTAATTCTTGTAAATAAATGAGAAATCTTTCCACTGTACAGGCGCTCTGATGACTTCTTCCTCTGCAGAAATCTTTTACAAAGTAGACAAGGAAAAATAAGGCTGCTAATTTGAGATTAGAAATCTGGTTTTGGACAACAGATTATGGGCTCCATATGGTCTGTCAGCAGCTTCTTTGCTATTTTTAATGTTGCACCGCAAAAGTTAATATCCACAGTCTCCCTTATCTCCACCTTTGGAGTAATAACTAATCGGCACCAAGGAAAACAAATGCTTCTCCTGGATTGGCTGCTTTGCAAGCATCAGTTTCATGTCCTTTAGGATTTTGTGTTTTGGTATTTCCACTTTTCAGACTTAAATTACTTTCAAATGTTTTAGAAAACTTCTGTGAAAGAGTCTGTGAACTTTATTGAGGTGTATTGGAGTAAAGGAGATGAACACAAATGCAGATAAAAAATGTCCCTGTATCCTTTTCCTTCAGAATCATCCACTATTCTAGGTTGGTCAACAAGAAAAAAAACAAAAAAACAATTATGATTTGCAGCTATGCCAAAATGTAAAATAGTTCAATGGGTATGAAAGACGCTGCACCGAGAAAAACCCACACTGAATTAGGATGTGTAATAAAAGAACAGTCACACAACAACTGAGGTAAAAGTAAAATAAATAAATAAATAAAACAACCAAGAAATACAACACAGGAGTGAAAAGATGACAGGCAAAAAGAAGAACAGATACGTGCAGAGAAATGAAGGGGGAGGAGTGAAAGCCAAGGCTGAAGAGGGGGCAGTCATACCTACCCTGCCCTGCTGTCATCTAGCTCCCAGCCTCTGGACTGGCCTGTTCTGGGCTGGGCTCTGCTGTCTCACTGGGGCAGGGTGACCCAGAACCACACGCCTAAAGACGGGAGGAAGGGGCAGGAAGGAGGGAAAAGGAGGTGAAATTGACAGAGGGGAAAAAAAAGAGAGAAGAAAAGAGCAGATCGAGAAGAATAAATCTGGGAGAGTGAAGGATAAGTAAAGATTAAGAACAGAGCAGACAGCAAGCAAAGACAAAGGTTTTAGCAACCTGAAGGAGAGGGACAAAAAAACCCCAAAAACACATCCAGTTTGTCCCTTTTCTCAGAAACATCATTTCAAGCGCACGCAAACACAACACTCGCGCAGGCACTCGTTTACTGTGGTCAATTATAAAAGCCTCCGTGGAGTTAGCTCCATCGATCCGGCGCTAAAACACTTCTGCTTTTTACACCTCTCCCCGCAGAGAGCGGGACGCCGTTTCTCTGCGTTCACGCCATCCTTCCTGTCCTCTTCTCTCCCGCCGTAACCTTTTCACTGCACTCGCTCGATGCCGCCACCAGCTCTGCATTTTTTTTTCTCCCCCTTCTGACAATTTTTTTTTTTTAAGGGGTCAGGGTTGTGAAAAGGCACATGTGTGTTATTTAGGCCTACTGACATTTTCAACAGCGTGAAAGTCCTCTTTTTCAATAATAGCTGGACTGGAGGCATAAAAGTAATGTTTCACGCCGAGAGGGGAGTGGAGAGCATGAGAGAGAGAGTGAGAGAGAGAGAGAGAAAAGATGCAAAGCATGAAATAAACAGAAAAGAGAGGAAAAATCAAAGAGTAAAGCTTTGTTTCTTAGAAGGTCAGACATTCTACTTCTCTTCTTCTTCTTTAGCTTTTCTCCCACTTTTTATTGTAGGTGAAGGGTTGGGGAAAAAAAAAAAACTATTAATTGCCCCAGGAAGAGGAAGCGGGGCACTCTGCCTCCTCCAGCCGTCCCAGCAGAGATGAACCTGTCTGTTTAGAAGAGGTGATGTATGGACGCTACCTGGCTGATATTAATAACAGCTTAATGATATCTCTGACAATTCCAGCAGCTAATTTAACGCTGTGTTGGCCATGCACATGCAACACACACACACACATACGCACACACACTCACTACCACATTCCTGCTATTCATGCAGTGAACCACGTCTGTTGTGCATTTTTGCGTGTGCCGGGACGAATGCGCGTTCGTCAAGCGACACTGGCAACATCGGTCCGCTAATCAGCCAGAGTGATTACCTGGCCCGCCAACACTGCAGCAAAGGCTATTTATCAGCGCACATTAACGCACCGTGTAGGTTACAGAGGCATCACACAAAAAAGGGACGCCTTAAAGGCCTACACACACTTACAGCGTCCTCCTCCCCGCTACGACTGGGGCTGCCCTCCGCCTCCCCAAACGAGTCATCCGTGGGCGGGTCTGTGGCGTCCGTGGGCGGGTCGCTGACGTGAGAAGCCGAGGACTTGGATGGGGAGCTCTTCCTGGGGGCCGGTGTAGGAGCTGCGGAGGAGAACAGACGGGGTTTTTGTTTTCACGGTGACGGGTATTGGGACGCATGAGGTGTTGGAAGGTCGGCGGCGCGCTCACGGGAGTTGGTGGACGGCGTCGTGGAAGTGACCGGCGTCAGGTTCATTTGGGAAATGTCGAAGTCGTCACAGTCGTCCGTGTCCTGGGCGGTGCCCACGCGGCTGAAGTAAGAGCTGAACGCCTCTGAGGTTCCCGCTAGACTGGGCTGTTCGCCCTTCTTGGACGGCATGGCTGGAGGCTTCGCCAGCTGGAAATCCTGAGAGCACAGGTAAACTCTGGTCAGAGAAGCGCACATTGGAGTAACTTTAGAGGTTTCTTTTCTTCATATAATGAACAAACTGTTCAGATGTGGCTCGGGTTTGAGTCTACAAACTAGACTGGGTTCAGCACGGGTCAAAGACTCTTCCATTAAAGCCAATCAAATGCTTTGTGTGGTGAACGTGCTTGAACTTTGGTTGATATGACGTGTTAAGTCAAAGTCTGTTATTTTCCACTTTTCATTCCACTTTGTATTTCAACCCATTAAAAAAAAAACAATCAGGAAATGAGGGGAAAAAAAGGAGAAAAGAACCAGATGTGGTAAATTCTTAAAAACGGTTTCAATGCTTCTCCAGGAGCTCTGACTCCTGTGACCCAGCGCAACGCAAACAGGAAGATCAAACAAACATGGTGGAAAAGAAGCCGACAGTCGAACTAAATACATTTCTGATCGACTCATCATGGGCGTTGATGTTCAATTCATTTTGGGGCTTTAATTCTACCTTTCTGTTTGAGGGTAGAATAACTTGATGAAGCTAAAGGAGAAACGGATGCACACGCAGGACCAGTTCGTCTTCATCTGACGGCAGTTTGAGTTAGAGGATTGAAACTTATGTCAGACAAGCTGTTTCAACAAGTTTACAATCCAAAACATAAGATGGCATTGAGCACCTGAACAGCCTCGACCTCAAGTCCATCACACGTCCTATCAAAGCTGAACAGGTAAAAATAGAACAGCCCAACTTGCCAATGGGACGTTCATCCAGTATTAGAATGAGCATGTACAATTTTGATCCCGTGTAGCCTAGACAAAATAAAAAAAAATAATTTTGCACCTTATCTGTGATTAAATATGTTCATTTCTCAAAACGTCTTCTCAGAACAGCGTCATTGATGTCATGTTTCATGTTTATTGTATCTTTTGATGCCCACTTCTGTGATTACAACAGATTTTTTCTTTTATTCTTTTGTTTGATGCACTCAAGCGTTCTGCTTGTTATTTTGGATTCCCATAAAGTGCCTGAGTTTTTAAAAAAAAAGCTAAATAAATGACTATGAAAACTATATGTTGTATAATCATTACACCTTCAAATTTGCATTTGGTTCAACTGAAGCCCTGAACAGAAGCTGCTGCTCCCCCACCTTGAACATCTCCTTGCCCATCTTCTTCGGCCCCTCTCCGTGCTGCGGACTCGACGAAGCCGACGGGGACGGAGCGGAGGCGCTGGCCCCGGCGCCCGACTGGCTCTCGCTGGCCGGAGTCACGGTGGTGACCGGGGCGAGCGTCTGGAACATCGCAGCGGGCAGAGTGCCCACGGGTTGGGCCGGGAGGTAGGCTGTCGGGGAGAAGGCTCCGGCCGCCATGGCGGCCCACTGCTGCTGGGTTGCGGGGAAGATGTTGGCCTGGCCCCAGATCAGAGGCTGTCCGCCCGGTATCACCTGGGCTACGGGGCCCAGAGGAGACTGGACCCCGAAGGCGAGCGGCGTCTGGGCAGCAAACGCCTGCTGGGACCAATGGCCAGGAGGTACTGCTCCCATCGTCACATAACCTGGAAGCACAGATTGGGCAACATTAGAAAGAGTCATTCCGTTTTTCCCTCATTCTTCTCATAAAGTCTAAGAGAGGACACTCTTATGATTAGAAAACCCACATTTGGTGCTTCTCCTCTGCGCACAAACCCACAAAGATAATAAGACATGCATCACCAGAAAGCGCTGCCCTACTTCTGCCTGCAGCTAATGCGGAGCCGCTTAATGGTCATGGTGAACTATAATAATTACCTCCAGAATGAGGCAGGATCATTATGTAAAGCCAGAGCACAACGCAGTCTCATTAAAATCACTCAAACTCATCAGCAAAAGGTACTTCTTATTACACAGTCACTAGTTCGCAGCTTCTGCTCTCTGGTAGTTAACTACAGGAGAGGAGGTTGACATTTACCCTCAGCCGCTCTGACACACAGAGCGACGACCAAAGGCAAGGAGGAGAGCAAATAAAGACATCCTGAAAAGGTAGGCAGTGAAACGGCTTTCCAAAGAATTTGTGTCCCCTTTCACTTTTCCATTGTTTCTCACATAAAAAGTGTTTTATTTTATTTTTTAATGTAATGGGCACAAATGACGGAGTGGAGAGTAATTGTGGAAGTGGAAGCAAAATTATGCTTCGACTTTATTTAAGAATGTGAAAGTAAAGAGGCTTTATTGCTTTGTGTGCAACATTGGCTCGTTTTCTTACACACACATCGCAGTACTAGAAGCTGGAGCTCGTAGTTCCACGGTGACCAACATGAACTTCAGTCTTCTCATCTTTTGCCACTGCTTGTCCTTCGACTGCCACTGCCGCCTCAGCTTCAGGTAAGTCAGCAGTAGCATCCGAGGCGCCAAGCTAATAGCGCGTTTCATATTCAGCACACAGCCGACTCCACCTTTCCTCCAGTATCCAGTCATCTGCATTTCAATTCTGTTCCTTCTCTGTTTATTCCAGCAGCACCTCCCCTCCCTTCTCCCTCTCGTCCCTCCGTCCTCTGCATCCTAATCCTCTGACTTCACAGCTTCTCCTTATCTCCCAAGGCGTTTGTTTGCCCGGTGCCTGTAGTGGCAGAGGCGGCGAATAAGAGAGGCCTCACCTGAGGGCACGGACGCAGGATTGAAGGGAGCGAACAGTTCCGTAGGCGGCTGCAGGCCCTGCGAGGGGTCGAGGGTGTTGGCGGGGGACGCCGGGGTCTGTGGGAGTCAGATGTCAGGTGAGCAAGCAACAATACAAACCCCCCCCAAAAAAACAACAAAAATGCAGTTTGATTAAAAGGTTTTTATGTCGGCGTGGCTGCTACTCACGGACGGGGAGGTTATGTCAGGCGGCGTGGACATGTCCCCGAAAATCTCTAACTGGCTGATGTTCTGAGAAATAGAGAGGAGAGGGGAGATGGGGGGGGAAAAAAGAGAAGAAAACAAAGACAGTCGGTCAGGGAGCGATGGCTGCTGTGCCCATGAAGTGGTTGGCATTCCGGTCCAACATGCATCGTACACCGCATGCAACGCGGGAGCAGCCGCATGCGGGTAAAACGCCGCCTACCTGAACGCCGCTGCAGCAACACAGAGGAGGGGGAACAAGAGAGGTGAGCAGAGATGGGAGAATGAGATGTAATGATCAGGATGACAATACCCACCATGACTTATTACACTTGTCACCTGCTTCTGATAGCAGCGCCCTCTGCTAGCTGAGGAATACGCCGCCTCACATCTTTACTGTACCAGAGTCTTCTGCTGAGCCTGAGTCGTTATTGTTTTCCTCTTGTGGAGGACGTGTGTTGGTTGGGACTCGGAGGGGATAACTACAGATCTTTTTGATCTGAACTTGTTCTGTGTCATTTCCTTCCCATGGTTCACTTTAATAACTCTTTCCTTTTTTGTTTCTTTTTTTTTTTTTGTTGCGCATTACTAATATCTTTTGGCCAGTGGCAACCGAAGGAAACTATTTTTAGTCGATAAAAAGAATTTAAGCCTTGAATACATGGTCAGAGATTTGCATAAATCATGGATGCGGATAATTTCTTACAGAGATAATGAATGTTCTTAGAATATCTCCCCCCCCCCGTTCACTCATGGGTCATGCGGACCGGAAAGTTCTTTTGTGCATCTATCAGAAAATGGATCTGTGATCACGACGTTGAGTCATGAAGAGTTTACTTTCACAAAGCCTGGGAGAAGATCCGAGGCCATGCTATGTATGTCTCATTGCAGCAGAAGCTGCTCTTGTAGAGAGATTAAGTAGTTAAGATACAGAGGCGACAAGAAGAAATGACAAAATTTCAATGGGATTAATTTTTACACATAAGCTCTAAAATTAGCAGTTTTTTTTTTTTAAAGAAATGTTCAGGGGAAGAAAAAACACATTTAGCTCAGGGAGACATTTTTAAACTTCCTGCCAATAACAAATTCAAACAGCCAATCTTTAATGATGAGTGGATGCAGTATGAAGCAATATAATAATGACAGCTCTCATTAGTGTAGATGTTGTTATGGAGTAAATAAGGCTTCAAATGAGTCATTTTAACACTAGCAAGGAACTTAATAGCAAAATCGCCTGAATCTGCATTCTTAATTCAACCAGGATTCTGGCTGATGCATATTCCACAAACGTCAAGGACCAATAAAGCTTTTTACTACGATTGTGAATTTACACTATTATATGAAATTCTGATGATAGATCAAAAAGTGTTGTACAGAAACTTAATTTGAAACCAATTTCAAAGCTCTCTTTACCAAAACAGGCTTAACTAACTGCAAATGAGTTCTGGGAATAAGAGATTGAAGTTAATTAATTCATGATATTAATGCAAAAATGATTTAAAAGGCAATCATATTTCTGATGGCATGTTGAGACATGTTTGCCATTCATTTAGGCAACAAAGCTAGAGAGAGCAACACTTGAATTTAAAATGAAAGCTAAAAGCTGCGTCATTTTCTCCACTTGATTTTTTTGACTATGTGGCCTTGAAGCCTTGCTTTGTGTGTTTTACAGCCTTCCCAATGTATTTGCATTGGCTCCAGATTTTGGACCCAGCAGACAGGGAACAACAGGCGTCTTTTGTTCCAACCCGTGTCGGTTTTACCTTCTGGAAAGACGCTTCGAATGCTTTTCATTGTTGGCGCTGACAGCTGTCTTGTTGTGGCCGTGTAACCCGTCTATCAGCAGCAACTGATTAAGATGTGCAAGTCTCTTAACTGGATGCTCATCAGCATGATTAGAGTTGTGACAACATTTGTTTTAGGTATGCAAATCAAATGGATGTCTGTTGTTTGTTTTTTAACACTGAAAGATCTAATTATTCTGTTTTTTTTGTTGTTGAAAGATCAGCAGCCAGTTCTTCAATTAAAAAAAAAAAAAAACATTAAGGAAACTGAATCACAGAAAAACATTTCTGTGATTTAATTCTTTTCTCTGCAAACAGTTTTAAAAAATAACTGACTGAATTCACTCCCAGAGAAGTGATCCCGTGTTTTGCTCGAGTTTGAACTTTGTCTGCGAGATATTTTCTCTCCTGGAAGACTTCCCGGCAGAGCCAGAGGAAGGTGGGGCTGGGGGGCTATTTTTCAGTTTTCGACAAACACACAGGTGTGAACGTGGGAGCTCAGCATCCTAATCTCCTCCTGGCCAAACTTGGCTGCTATAGCCACAGGAAAGGCGCATGTTTTATTCAGTAACGACAGAGGTCTGCGGTCGGGGTCACTTCAGACCAAAGAAGAACAAGAGGTGCAGAACCGATCAGGATGAGGCGACAAAAGCTCATCTGAGGAAGTGACTAGCGAAGTGGCTAATGAGGGCTGAGAGCTAACCTTTACGGCTTCCTGCTGGAAAACAGAGGAAGACGTCCTGGTATGTATGTACAGCGCCTTACCTGAGTCACCATGTCCAGGTTTAAGTCTATCAGATCTGCAACTTCCTGCTGCTTCGGCTGCTGTTGATGTTCGACAGGTTTCTCACGCTTATGTTGATGATCATGATGATGATGATGATGATGGTGGGATTTGTTTTTATGTCCGTTCTGTAATCCAAACCCCAGTGTTAGATGACAGGTTGGATGAAAATGTTCTCACACACAACAAGCATGTTAGTAATTTTCTATACACACAAACACACATACACAAACAGAAAGTAGTGAAGTTTGATCTCTTGAATTCACCGTGTTAGCTCGTCTGCTAATCATGACACAAACACCGGGCCTGGACTTGTCCACATTTTGACACCTAAATATATTTCACCAGGATTTTTATGTGATAAAAACACAAAGTAGCTCACAATTATTCTGTGGACGGAAAAATGATACATTATTTCCCCAAGCAAGGAGCAGAGATCTGCAGCTCAGGTGGGAGAATCTGTTGCCAGGATGGCTAAAAAGAGGAGCTTTTTACGAATTTTGGTGGAATAGTGGCGTCAGAAAATCTTCACTAAGAAGTCTTGTTTGAAAGTTTAGGAAGAAGAAAATGGGAGACAGTGCTCTCTTCAGGTTAAAAACGTAACTACCAGGCATTATTGACAATATTGATTTCTGGATAATCATCATGCCGTGGGAATTCTTTTCTTCAGAGGGGTGTAAGTAAGACGGGAAGATGGATGGAAACTACAACATCCTTAAAATACACGTAGAGCTACTCATGAATGGTTTAAATCAAAGCTTATTCAAGTGCTCAAGTTCAACTTTTAATTGTCATGTGCACAGTACAAACATTTCCTTATATTATAAAAAAAACTTACTTCGCTGTCTGCAAGAACGTCACTTAAAAAAAAGGTTAGAAAAAGTACAAAATGTAAAATGACCTTCTAATTACAGCAAAATATTACCTACATGTACCAATAACAGGATAAAAGTAATCTCTCGATACACAAGCTTTATACTATATAAATTAAAATACAAGGAAATGTGAATATAGCACAAGAGAGGATTATTGGGAGCAGTGCAAATGTCAATCGACTGATCAAAGTCTAGATCTAAATTCAACTGAATCTGCAGTAAAACTTTAAAATTTATATCGAAAATGTTCCATCTCTAGACGCAGGGAACTGCTTTGGCACACCAGCTTGAGATTTTATTAGTGAAATATTTTTGAAAACTCTTTCTACACTACAGCTTTTCACTACTCTTTGTTGGTCCATCACGCAAAATCCCAGTAAAGTACTATACAGTTTGTGTTTCACAAAAATGTGAAGGGCTCAGAGTGTCGGAATAATTGCATGTCTATTGCAAAGTCTTTCCACCAACATTATTCTCCTCTGTCTGCAGAAACGACAGTGTGACAAAGACCTCCTCCGTTCCAGCTCTGGCCCAAACACGAGGTGCGGACTGGTCTAAGCCAAGCCAGTACCGTATTTGTTGCATGACAATATTATTGAGCGTGCTGTTTTCATTGGATGAAAGCATGAGATATGGCCATCATTAGCTGATGCTGAAAAACAATAACACATTGCCCAGTCGTAATCAGGTCTAAAAGCACAGCTCATTTTTCTACTGAGCTTTTTTTCCTCAAAAAATCTGAACTCATAATCGCTCATTTCAATCTAGCTGATGAAACACATTTGTCTAAATTTGTGGCGTGGGTGTGTGTTGGTGTGTATCATCTATTGAATCATACAGTATCTGCCATCTTTGCTGAAAGTTGCAGTCTGCTGCCGGCTTTCCCTCAGTTTGTCCTTCTGTCCTCATTCTCTCGCTTACTTTCCTGCCAATTATCCCTTTGTGCCCGTTAGACGCTCTCGCCATCCCTTCGCCCAGCCCGTACAGTCCTCATCATCGCAGCCGCAGACCTATCAATTAGCCATCTCCAGGGAAACAGTAATTACCTGTGCACATGTGTTCGGCATACAATTAATGCATCCCCTTTAATTAACACCACCTCGTTGATTCCCTGCCGAGTGACTGATTGCTCTGGCAAGCGGCGCAAGCACTGCCGACCTTGTGCAAACAATGCACACGTCAGAAAAAATAAAATCTACGATTTTCATTCACCATCTGAAACTGGGTGCATCTCCTAAACCTCAGAGGATTCATGGACAGTTACAGTGCCTTAAAAGTATCCATAAGTATCCAAAAGTATCCATCCAGCAAAATAATAATAATAATAATAATAATAATAATACGAAGGAAAATCATCAAACATCTTCAGCGTTTCCTACAAACAGAGATCTTGAATATGTGGGATGCCTTCATATTCAGCAACCCAGAGTAAGTACTTTGATATGGTTTTCAATGGCTTTCTAACTTCAGAAAGCAAATTATTTCCTCATGTGTTCAGATTATGTAGTCTGATATCCTGGCATCCTCAAAGTGTGTTTTATTTAGCACCATTAGCTGATTGGGGCTAATGACATGACTGATGGAGTGGAATGGTCCAGTCAAAGTCCAGACCTAAATCCATTTGAGAATTTAAAGAGAGTCATGTCAAATGATTAAAAAAAAAAAAGAAACATTAATATGCAATATGATGAAACTCAAAAGACATGCTGTTATTTTGTTTGTTTTTAACAACTAGAGTTAGTTCTACTAAATATTGCACCAAAGGAGCTGCATAAAAATGCATGCCACACTTTTCAGATGTCATTTGCAAAACAAGTAGTTGAAAACCGTGCTTCATTTTCTTTTTCGCTTCACAATTTGTACTGATCTGAGTTGGTCCATCACATAAAACGGATGATCCGGAGCTGCAGAAACACAGGCAAACAGAATGACTGACTCCACAGTTCTTCACGTGTGTGTAGGTGTGTGTGTGGCATAACCTTTGTTTAAACTCCAAAGCTAAAACACCCCAGAGTGTAATTTACAGTCGTGATCCTATCACACCAAGTTATCAGTAATCCAGTGTTTGAGTGGAGCTGTTGCGTCTGTCCGCTGGAAATGTGAAATGCTGACCTCAACATGCGAACTCTGAGGCTTGTGTTGATTCAACGCACTATTACAGGTCTGACCAGATCAAGAGCTCTCTCTGTAGATTGGGATGGCTTTTTGGGTACAGGTGTGTGTGTGTGTGTGTGTGTTTTATTGATTTGCCATCGTTTAAGAAGGTGACAGAGTAAACACCAGAAGGGACCACCGCAGACAGGAGGTCACTTCTGTACTGATGGGATCATTTTGTCTGAGGTGTGGTGTGCAGACATGCGCACACGTCACTTAAAGACACCATCCAGCATCCGCCCACCTGAGAACACTTACATCAGCAGTGAAAACCGCGGCAGGGCCGGCCTTATGTTCATTTGGGCTCTGAGCAGAATTTACATTTGGGAGCCACCCTGCTTAATAGTTTTCAAAATGTGCGTTTTTAGTTTGCATCTCACATTTACATTAATATATACTTTTTAATTGACAATAGGAAAATCACATCAATCCCTTTGCAATATTTAATCAATAACCAACAGCTAGATTAAAGTGTTTGGAATCTTAAAAGCTCTTGATTATGGCAATTGTGTTACTTTACTGACTCAAATTTAAATATGTAATTAGATTTGACTAGAAGCACATACAAAAAACTGTCAATTAACTGCCTGTGGACCAGCGGGTAGAGACGTCTTCCTGCAATCAGAAAGTTACGGGTTTGATTCCAGCGTCTTCCCGACAGCTCTGCGTGTTGTAACTATCTAAAAGTTGCCTCATACTTCACCTTGAATACAAACAAACAAATAAACAAACAAAAAACCAAACAAGTTACGTGAGAAGTTAAGGACTACAAGCCGGTGGCTGCTTCAGGTCAGACTGGAAAAATACATCCTGCTGACTTTATTCAAGAGATATTTCCACTTCCCAACAGTTTACATGCCGTGCCAAAGCTTTGTCAGCGTGTACCCATCATGCTCTCTGAATGATGTTTCTGACTTCCAGAGCATCGGGAATGGGTTCCTGTTGGAAAACACAATATGCTCCTCGTGTAGTGGCATTAGAGAATGCTGCATCTCACGCTCAGAAGATGGAAGAGCATTACAGCGGGAGCGTGCCACCCTCTGAAGCTGGATTTATCTTCAAATCAAATTAAAGTCTCTTCAGAGTGCCGCAAAGTCCAATTGGTTCCACGACAACAGAAACGTGTTGGATTCGGCCCCATCCAGACACCTACCGGCACAAAGGCAATCCAAAAAGCAGCATGCGCTGTAAGCCGGTGAGGGGAGAACAAAAAAAGTACGACGGTGCCTGTAAGCTTCTTACCAAATGTGGAGATAATAAGCATCCAGAAAACTGTGAGACTGATGCTACCTAAAATTATGGTATTGGGAATGTGACTGCCAGCAGAGTACAAGGATAGCAGTTTAAGGGGCGAGGGTAGAGAAAAAAAAAAGACCTACTGCTGAGGGATGCAGACAAACATGGTGGGATCTGCATTGTAATGAGGGCGCATGTGAATGTGGAATACAATAAGCTCGACGGGAGGAGGTGTCACATATAACCAGACATCCACTCCCACAGATCCCCAGGACAGCAGCCTGATTATTGCGAGTGTTTGGATTACAGAAGATTGAATCGGGCGGCAATAAAACGATCATCTTTATAGTCGGATAGAGAGCAGATGAGATATAAGGCGGCCTGACACAAGTGAAGGTCATCTTTCATTATCGGCACAGAAGCAAGCATTTACAGATATACAGACATGAACAAGTGATGGGTTGGGTTTTTTTTTTCCCTCGACGCAGTAGCATAATCCAGCTCTAATAAATAGAAATATTCAACTATTGATCTGAATACATTTGGGAAGAAAATGGTTTTCAGAAACAACATTTTCAACAAATTCAGATATGCCAATCAATTTGCCAGATGTTGGAATCAGTTAATGGAACAGATCTACAGACCTTTAATTAAACCCCAAATTTGCTATAAGCAACTACAAGTCCAATCAGTGAAATAGTGATGCAGTTATTGGATTTCTCTTCCTTTCACCAATAGGACAATTCTTAGTCTTCCAATGTTCCAGATTGTGAGATCCAAGGATGGTTGATTTTGTGTCAGATGTACTCTTTCTGTATGAATTTTGTTTTACATTTATGAAAAATTTCCTGCTAAAACTGAACTGCACTCTAACCAAGTTTCCATGGAAAGAGTAACAGACCTAAAAACACCACAAATCCCTCAGATTTAAAAGGCTTAAAAGAAATTTGACCATGTAATTTAACGCCTTGAAATTGGACCTCTGTCTCTTTAAAAACTCCTGCTCTTTCTGACACTCAGCCTTCAGAAAGTCATCATGACATTCTCCTCTCCTCTTAATCTTTTACCAACTGAGAAGTAGCTTTTGTAATGAGCTCAGCAGATGCACAATAACACCATTTGATTGCTAATTGCTCCTGGATAGTCTGAAGGGGCTGAGTGGGGAAATTGCTCGGTGAAGTGGAACCTTGGAGGAGCTGCGCCACGGGAGATTAAACATGCATGAAAGGATCAAGGCAATACTTCAAGTATGTTTTGGTAAGAGAATAACATTGTAATAAAAAAAAAATTACATAGTACTGTTTCATTAATAAATATATATCTCATGTGAGACTTGCAGTTCTAATGTGGTTGAGTTTCTCAACATGTCCAAAAACCTCTTGGCAAACTGGGACAGTCGGTGATTAAATGGTGTATGCTACAGTGCCAAATGCATTGGAAGATGAAACCAGTGTTATTTTCATATGGCGTAATGTTTTCCAATACCACTGAAGTGAAAGCAAACAAAAACGAAGGGAGATGAAGCTTTAAGTCAAATGTGACTGAATCACATGGCTCAAGAGGAATCCATCAAACGCCATCCTTACGCTGCTGATGGCAGAACAGAAAAGACTGATTTCTGGGATGCTGATCAAGCCACTGTTTGGCAGGTTGTTGTGGTTAATGGTTGTAATGAACACATGGTCTCCCTAAGATGCTACTTTTTGCTGCAGATCTCTAAAAGTGAGCATTGGAAATGTTTTTCCAGCTCTCAATCTGCTTACTCATGGCTGATTTAACACCAGGGTTTGATCTGGTTGTTACCAGTGGCTAAAATAAACGAGCCTACGCGTTACGTGCATTTGATATAACAGGTTAGTTTCTTGGAAATTCCTCAAAAAATTGATGTATTTTACAGTTTTTACACATATTTAAAAGCGGTGCCATTAAATTTCAGCACATCTGTAAACCACACATTCACTTGTATGCATGAACAAGATAAAGATCTGCTCCACCACTCCAAATACAAAATACATTTTCAAAGTAATGCCATGCACAATAGGAGTCAAAAGATAACACAAACACAGCATGAGTTCAATGCAATCTGACACACGGTCATGCAGGTTTTCACAGGAGTGTCTAACCATCGCCAGGCATGCTTGGCCAAGCAGACTCACATGCCACACACACATTCCCGGAAAACCATAGAAAGCAGGCACCAGGGAGCAACGAGGAGCGGGACACGAGCCACCACTGGTCACGGCACAAGCAGCAACACCGGCACAGCACACCGCACAGGGCACTGAATCCCAGCAAACCTCTCAGGGCAAGCGATCAGATAATCCTGATCAGTGTGAGGGACGGCTGTTAATCTGAAGGGGAATCAAAGGTTAAAGCTGCAATCTAGGAGGTGTTTTCATTCCACTTGAGTGATGGTGAATCAGCTGAGAGGTTTGTCTGGGATTGGGGAGGCAGGCTGAGGTAGATGACCAGGAACACGGGCGACAACACTCGGTCACTCACTGGGTGTCGCTTTGGGACGTCATAGACCCCTTCCTTCTGCTGACTGGTGGGCACCTACACAATTGACCAATGGATTCAGAGAACAGCCAAGAGAGCCCGTTACCTCCGGATCAATAGGCAACCAGACATTACACATCACTGTTCCAAGCACAGCAACGTACAGGTAGCCAACAAGAATCCCTGCGACTGGCTTCTCCGTGAATCAAATCAGTCACTAGTGACTGATGTGACTTGTGTGGTGCTGGGAAATGATCGGGATTAAAATCGGTGGAATGAAAGCTCATCGACCAGGTTAATAAAGGCCTTATCCAGGCTGCCGATCACACCTTCAGACATGTAATAACTCACATTGTCACACATGGGGACATGTAATATCTCAGTGTCAGACCGACTGCTTTGTATGCGCGTGATCGCAAAATGTGATAGTCGAACGCACGTATGAATCAAGTCGCTTCTTTTGTTTGCTTTCTCCGTCGCCTGCACAGAGTTTAGAAATGCACTGGTGCAGCTAAAGCGCCTTGCGAAAGTATCCATGTCCTCTGAACTTTTCACATTTTCCAACATCGGCCATAAGTGTATACTGTTAGGGTTTTAGATGACAAACCAACATAAATCAGGGTTGGGATACATGGTTGGCTTTTAAAGTTTGTTTTTACATAGAAATTGTGCAACGAGTTATTCCATTCAATGTGTAGAATCAGCTTTTGTGCAAGTCTTTTGGAGGATATTTCTACCCGTTTTAACCATCAAAGGACTGCCATTCTTTGCATTATAACTCAAACTCAGTCAGACTTGAAGGAGCTCTGGGAGGTCATGCCACTGATTTTGGCCTTTCAAAGATATAAATATGCTTTGATATACTCTATTCTCATACTGACTTAGTTTAGGATTCCAGATTGAACTCCAATAAGTCTTTTGCAAGTTTTCACCCCAGAATTGCCATTAATCTCAGCTCTGACCAGTTTTCCTTGCATCTATTAGAGGCAACTTTTTGCACAGCACAATACTGCCACCACCATGTTTCTACCACAGGCACATTACCAGAGCCTCGTTCGCCATGGGTTGTGATAAACTTTAAATGGAACTTCTTAATCAATTTCAACTAAATCTTTACATAGATATATCATTAATTCACTAATTAGGTGACATTCGGAGGCAACTATTTGCAGTCCGAAGTAAAGGCAGCTGAATTTAACTATCAAATACAAATGTGTTTAAGTTTTTGTACTTGTAAAAGAACTAAAAAGCCATCTACTGCATTCTTGTGACATAATATCCCAAATTAATACGTTGACGTTTGCGGTTCAGAGGATATTAATACTTTTGAAGGGCACTGTTGCTGTGTTCTAATTAGATTGAGTTGTGACTGAAAAAAAACAACACTGCTAAAAAAAAAAAATCTTGAAGTAAATCTGGCACAGCTTCCTTCATCCCGTCGCCTCCTTTCAGTGCCTTGTTTACGTCTTACACATGCCTATTTCCGGAATCGGCCATCTTTATTCATCCAGCAGCTCCTCTGTGGCTGCAGGCTGGCTCAGCCTGCTGGTTTTCTACGCCTGATGTATGCGCAGGGATTTGCTAGCATGTGTGTTTGTTTTTGTACGATTGTGCATGCGCCAGCAAACTCCATACACCCCCCCTGTCCGCCCGCCACCCCAACCCTTTCAATCCATTTTATTTAAAGATCAAACGAGGGGCTGGTGATTAATCTTTCTTCCCCCTTCCACTTTCTTTCATCTGCTTGGAAAAGAGGGGAACGGAGGTGTGGTAAACAGGGACGGTGGGTCTGCCTTCCACGGTGACGCCTGAAACAACCACAGCATCCTCCCCACCCCACTTCATCATCCCCTGGAGGTCTGCCCCCGCCTCTAAGGAGCAGAGAAAACGACTCATCTCCCTAGGCTTGCGGGCTTTAACAGGACCGGTCCTCCGAGAAACTTTTTGGCTGCTACATTTCTTCCCATAGTTACAGTCTTTTACTTCCCAACTGCCCATTTTGTGCTTTGAAAACAGGAGCAATTAATTTTATGTGGCGGCCTCGATACTTTTATCCCATTAAAGAGCAATGCAGCCCATAAAGATCGTCCGGTAAATGGAGGAGATTAAATCTGTGGAACTTTACCCGCTTTCAGCGGCTCGTCAGCAGTTTACTCACAGCTTAGAAGCTAAGCAAGACACAAGCGGAGGACGTGAGCTTGCGAGTACCTGATAAATGCTTTCTTCTGATTGGTCACGGATGGGTTCGTGTCCGGCCTCAAACACAATGTACTACAACGTCAGCAGCAGCGGAGGAGGAGTGGAGGGCGGGAAGGAGACGGAGGGGAAAAATAAAAAGGAAGAAAAAAAAAGAAGAGGAAGAAGGAGGAAAAATTGGGTGATTTTTGAGAAATTGAGAGAAAAGTGGGAGAAACTGCAGAGGTGATTAGTAAAGAGCATCATCATTAAAAAGCAGTTGAACAGATCTCAGACATAGATGGAGACTTTAAGCAGCAAGAAAGAAACAAAAAACAGAAACAACTCGTCAACACACACTTCAGCTCCACATGCACTCATTTTCTTGGCTGCACCAACGCACACACACGATAATGTCTCTCATAGATGACTCTGGAAACCTTCCACCTTTTATTCATCCAGCTACTCCCACACTGTCCCCCAAACCGGAGCTGTCTCCCCACAGTGCACACAGAGAGGAGCAAGCTAGAAAGTGCAGTGAGGCGATGCGATTGGTCAGGGAGTTACCTGGTAGACCGGGTCTTCCAGGTCCTCCTCCAGTATCGTCTGAAGCGGGCGCACCGGCGGGAGCGAGGGAAGGAGAGAGACAGAGAGAGAGAGAAATGAAACAGGAGAGAAGAAAAGCAAGAGGACAGACGAGAGGTGGAGAGTTAAGCCATAGAGTGGAAGCGGTAGGCGGAAAGCACAGAGAGACTTCCCACCATTCAGATAATCATTGGGCAATCACCAAAGAGAAAATTACAGCGAGATAAAAAGAAATTAAGCAGGAGATGCGAAGAGGGGGAGGAATAAGCACAATGTGCAGATGGTGCCATTAGCGGATCCGAGAAGTGTCTACCTGGCATTCTTTTTATCTATATTCAGATCTTGCCTGTCAAAAGGCTCTCGTTTTAAGGCAGGGAATGCTTGACAGGTGCATTACACGAGACAAAAAAATAAAAGTAAAAATACTTCACAAGTACCTGGTAGACGGCCTGCTCACACTGCTTGTCTTTCTGGGCCTTCTTCTCCATCTCCTCTCTCTGCTTTATGTCATAAATGAGCTGGAACAAGTCCCGCAGGTCCAGGATCACAGGCTCGGCCTAGAACGACCAGAGAACATGTTAACCAGCAACGCTCACGTAAAACTCACATTCTGTTGCTCTGAAAGCCTGTTCCAATAATGATTGACTAACCTGAGGTGACTGAAACCTGATTGTCCTTCACCTGAAGGCTGATTACACTCTGTTCACGCACAATCCAATGACATTTGCATTTTGTTATGAAACACCAAATTCAATGTGTTTTATTGGGATGTTATGCGATAGATCAACAAATAAAGTGCGTACTTGTGTATTGCACACGGCCGGGTGTGTGTGTTCAATCTCAGTGTGAATACAGATGTTTTGTTGAAAACATCTGGAGCACAAACAGCTTATGGAAATTTAGAAATTAGCCAATTAACCGTCCATTTTGTAAAATTGTATGACAAATCTTCTCATGAAACCTCTTAGTTTGAGTTTCTTCTGAGTAGAGAGGATTACCAGCCTTAAAAAAAAAAAAATCAATCAATCTGATTTCCAAACAGAACAGGAACAAAATGGATCATTTCAAAACAAACAGCACTTTGCGCGAGTCGACCGGATGCATTAGCATCAGGGGGAAAAACAAACAGCGCAATCAGCGAGTTGAAAATCTTTCATTACAGGTGTAACGCAGCTCTTGAAACTGATTGCTTTCAGAGGCGCGGCGACGCGGCTTGGAAAATGTTGTTTTCCGACTGAGCTCATTGGGAACACCCGAATTGAAAACCGGGTTGAAGCCCGGAGACAGGACATTTATCTCCACGATAACTACAAGCTGCGTCCCTCCTCTCAATCAGCTGCGGACAGTTACATGAGCAGACGCCAGCTTCTCGGTCTTACCTCCGACAAACCCAAGCGGCACGAACGCGAGGAGTCTAACAGGGCAGTCGTGTTTGAGACCTAATCAATTATTGACCGGAGATTTTGCAGAGTGCACTCAGAGTTCATAGACCGAACGGTGCTTTGCATAAAGTGGTTCTCCTTTAATGTTGCGAGATATTCTCAGCCATCCCATTTCTGGTGACAGACAGACACGCTGCGGTAATCTTTCTACCCTCCTTCCCCAAACTGAGCCAACAGTGTAAAGATACTGTCACTCTTTCAAATTCAAATCCGCTTTACATTTCACAATGCACGCCACGTCAGTAGCAGAAGAATAAAGAATGCGGACCTGCCAACCCTGACGAAGTGCCACCTCAGGCAGACGGCGTTTCAGATTCGTGAGCAGATGAAACGGATGGGTGGAGGAGGACGAGGGGGTTTTCATGGCGTTCATTTATTTTGGCAGAAGTCCTAACTCGTGCTGCCTGTCCCCCAAAACATAAATAAAGGCAGAGAAATTAATAAACGGATGCATTTTGACGGTTCAGGACAAACCCGTTTATTTGCTAAAGTTGTGTCTTATTTACTACGTTAACGGCAGGCTTAACTGAGCTTTGGAAGACTCACGCAAAAAATAAAAAAAAATCCCTCTGTGCTTGTGTGACAAATTAGCCAAGTTAATGACAGCTGCTTCTTTAATCTGCGGAGATCTCAAGATGGAGCTGGAAGGTGTGAGACATGTTCCTCCTAAATTAATCTGAGGTTCAGTGAAAAAGCCCAGAGTTGGATCTGCATAATGTCTAAACGCTAGAAGTAAAAGGAGGAAAAGCTTTGAGTATTTTCCACAGTGATTTGAATTTTCCTGAACAGAGAGAGTCCAAAGCGGAACTGTGTGTTGGGGATTCCCCTGCCATTTATTTACAGAGATCCCACTGAGATGTTTTTTTTTTTTTAATGAATGAATGTTCACAGCACTGAAATGATACTTTTTGCTCTATGGATAGAAAGCATGAAATGTTTACTTGTTTTATTAATTAAAAGTCCGAGAGGAAGCATCAACAATTTAAAATGAAATCAAATCTTATCAGCTCTCACTCTTTTTGAGAAGTATTTCGATTCCACACAAAATTCAGAGTCTAACAGAGACTAGTCCTCTGCAACAAAAGAGCAGACGACGCAGCAGAAGAGAAGTAGCACTGACAGAAAACTACAATAAAGAACGATGAAAAACAAGAAGCAAAGTTTGGAGGGTTGCTAAAAGATTTGAGCTCATAATTCATCCTAACGTGATGATTCAATGTTTGCATCTCAGAATTTGTCAGATATTTCTAGAGGTATTTCTAGAGGTTGTCGCCTTTCTCATCACCAACACTGAGGAATCTGCATTTCTCCACAGTGGAACAATAAGATATATTTCTATTTCATTTGCCACACCTAGATCTAATTACTGCCGCAACCCATGGAATCATTTTTGATGATTACACGTGACAGCATCTAATATTCCACTGCTTGTTTCATAATTGGTTAGTATATTAATTTTTTATGGTGCAAAGCACTTTGAAAAACAGTAAACACATCACAACCTGAAATACAGGAACAGGTAAAAAAACAAAAGTCGTTGACATCAATCAGTCTTGGAAGGGTTAGAAAGATTTTTTTCCAAGGCTTTGGGACTCTGGTAAACCACAGCGAACATTATGTCTGAAAAAAGATAACATAACAAGCACTGCAGGTCTCACTTGCTTCAGCTATATGGTCATGATGGATGATTCAACAATAAGAAAGAGACAGGGCAAAAATGGCATCCTTGGGAGAGTTTCGAGATGGGAAGCACGAGGGTCTGCCTGACCTTTGCTCAAAAGACAATCCAAAGGAATCTGGGGAAGAATATTCTGTAGACTGCAAAGCAAGAAGTGGAACTTTTTGGTGGTGCTCATCAAAACATTTCAGAAAATTTTTATTATAACTTCTGAAATGCGTACATGTGACAAAAAAAAGGGGGGGTGGGGGGGGCAAAAACAGAAGAAATATTCACAGGTCTGTCCTTGGATTTTCTATGGTGTGAGTATTTTTCTCACACATTTAAACGATGACGAGAATTTTGACGCAATGCTTCTCCCATAACCCTGACCTGGACCTTCTGCCTTTCTATTCCTAATATTAACTCTGGTAAGTTTCGCATAAAGTTACAACAAAGACTGAACTCTGAGGCAATCCTTTCTGACACAATTAGGGCTCCTCCATCTGCACAAAGAGCTGACCAAATAAGACACGTCTTTCTTGTTCTGGGACTTTGAGCAGTAAGCCAATTACTTTTGAATATAACCCTAAATTGGCCTTTTCTGAGCAACTATAAGTCTTAGACTTCATGACGACAGAGACACTTTGTTAATTCACATCAAAGTGGTTACTTTCCAATTACAGCCACAGCAATAAGCTCTGCACTTTCATCCCTCTCGTTGTTTCCACCACGACTAACAGGCCGAGTGCCGGCGACGGCGGGTTCAAGTCCGAGAGAGAGAGTAAAATATAATTATGACCTTTCCTCAGGCACATACCTGGTAAATGGCAGCTTAGCTGAGCGAGGAAAACACAACCCTGTGATACACTGCTTGGCAGGGTAACGTTGGAAAAGCAACCGCTTTTCAATCACGGTGTGCACTGGCGAATGCAGACGGAAGGCGTGTGTGTTTGCATGTGTGTGGGAATCAGTCTAAGTCAGAGAGCCACGGTTCATGGCCCTGGGAGGATGGATATGCCATTAGAGCTGGTGACACACACTCAAACCCTCATTGACTCACTATGGGAAATCAATATGGCTACAGAGCAAGGCAGCTGGATCCAGATAAAATAAGCCAGGCACACAGATACAACAGCAGCAACAACAATCATATCAGAGCCCAGAGAGGTACTCAATATCAGGTAGAGTGTGCCGCTGGTGCTGCTGCAGGAACGACCTGGACCTTCTGCCTTACGCCGCGCCCACGTGCACAGTAAACAGTGTGTCTGATGCACAACACACACCTGCATGAGCGAAATGTCAAGAGGTTTGCACCAGTGAGAAATGATCTGAATGTATCACTTTAACCTGCGCACATGTATGACGGAGCAGTTCTTGCGGTAACAGTGTGAACGTTACGTGCATTCATCATTCACAATATGCCGTACTAATTTGGACCTTCAACAGTGTTTGTCTCCACAAGACATTTGCCGGAGCTTGAGGATGCGCTGGCATCTTTCAGGTCAAGATGAGCTTTTTACGCTGAACGTGTTTCTTGGGTTGCGCTCAAACATTCGAGAATGACGATCCGGTTCAGATGGTTGGGAACTGGTTGGGTTTTATCAGCATATCTAATGTGTGGGATATACTCAGAAGCCAGGAAAAACTGTTTATTTATGCCAAAAGCTTGTAGATAAAAAAGAAAAAGGAAGGTGACGTGTTGTTTCTCTGCAACCTCTGGACTGATATGCAGATATAAGTGAGGGATTATGCAAATATTTGAATGTAATTAGAGAAAATCTACAAACTTCCGCATCAAATTCTTGCTTTTGACATTCATTGTTGTTGCTTTATTTTACAACCATTTTTACAATATCTCCATTTCCTATTTGAAAACAAATAGTGCAAACATATTGTGAAAGGCCTGAGGTGAGTCCATAAACTCTTCACTGACATTAAAAATTGACGCGCAGAGGCAAACACTGACCGACTGTGCAGTTTTGATGGCCACAAATCTGTGATTTCCCTCCTTTCCGCAGACATAACCGAAGGCTCTGTGGTCTGTGATGTCCTTGGCGATGTAGGAGATTTCATGGACTGCATGGTGGTGTTGGAGGATCTGAAAAAGAAAACAATGAAGTATGAGTTTTTGCTGTGGAGACAAAAAACAAATAGTTCTGTGCCTTCACGCTCCAGAAAAGCATGATGTCAGGAAAATACATAAAGTTGTACCAGATTTCCCTACAATTGCAGCTACAAGCCTCTTGGGGTATATTTCTGATCCTGGTTTGGGTATCCAGAAATGAAAGTCTTTGTCTGTTCTTTAAAAAAAAAAATAGCTTAATCTCCTACTGATCAAACAAGGATAATCTACAGAAGACATTACTTCTCAAAAAGTAATGTCCTTATGAGAAAAGGACATTACATTAGATTTAGACTTTGATTGAGCCATTCCAGCACATGAATACACTTTAAACTAAATTATTTGTTTGGCAAGTTGCCTTTTGGAAATGTGAAGTTTTCTTCCAGTATTACTGGAAATTTATATCCACACACATTCCTATCAACTCTGACTTATTATATCTCTATGCAGCAAATAATCAAACTAATTCTGCAGAAAAACTCATAACAGAAAACAAACAATCATAATCACAATATTTAGCAGATTTTATATATATATATATATATACATTTAAAGATTGAAAAATTTTAACTCCTCACAGTGATTATTCCACACTAGTCCAGGACAATATATCACAATGGACATGTGATTAATATCAATAGATATGCGTATTCAGTAATGTTTTAGCTGCTCAACTTCTCACTGTAGCATGGATTAACTCCTTCTTTGGTTGCCTAGCAACAATCTGTTGAGTAACTGGCGCAGCAGCGGTTTCAGGTTTCGTCATTGTGCCTCATGACTGCATAAAAAAAGCCACGCCATCAATCAGGCAGGATTTCAACGATTTAAGACAAAAAAACTAATCAGTAATCGTCGTTATCGACTGATACGAACTGTGGAAATGCTCACCGCATATAAATACTTTTACAAGGAACTGCATGTTCTCACCTGACACAAACCTTCGCAACCCTCCCTGAGAGTACACTCTGAACACCGACACTCGGTTAGACACCTTGTATCCTTCACTGAATTATTTGCGGCTCTTCTGCCCTCTACGGTTTAGTTTGGGTTGGATCTGCCAAGCTGGCATTGCCTGTGGCAGATGGCACTGTTTGTCCTGAGGACAGAGGGGGGGTGATCAGTGACAATCACAGCTCGGCAAGCTGTCGGACTTGATCACTTCATCTGCGCCCTGTCTCCCAACACACACACTCACGCACACACACACATGCACAGAATTCACAGCTTAATATGCAAAGGCCCTCTGTTAAGTCACACTAAATGTCTGCTTTGTTATTGTTGTCTATGCCAGCTGCCCACTGTGAGGAGAGGCGCGCAGTCAACATAATGATCCTGCGGCCCTTCAGTTCGTCAGAGGGGCCGGGGCTCTGTACAATCACACAACAAACACACGCATCTGCTCCCTCTGTAGTGAATCCAGAGGTGAGACGTGGCGGGGAGGAGTGACAGCAGTTTAACACGGGGGGCTGCGAGCAATCACACACACTGTAAACCCCAGCAGAGGCAGATAATCGCTGTATGAGTCATGTCTTCTAAATTTAATAATTGGAGTAATGATTATTATTATCACCTTTGATTGACCTGAAAATGACAGCTAAGGCAGTGTGTGAAGATGCACGCCGACACACACAGCTCATTTACGGGGGTTATTGAATTATCTCCGGGTGGGCGGCGGGGTGACAAAGAGAGACTCCGATTCAAAGAGAGCGCACAATGAAATGACTGGATACATTCAAATGCTCCTCTTCATCTTGGCAGCAAGTGAAGCTTCAACAGCAGAAGCACTTCGTTTGCACAGTCAGCGGTTGGATCACCAGCGTTTAAAAACGAAGCTGGGATTGTTTCACTGGGACTCTGACGTCTTTTGGGCCAGTTTCTCAGCACAAAGTTTGCGTTATTACAACAACAAGGAATAATTGAATCTCCTCCTCGGCTCCTACAGACTAGCGCTAGTATTAGTTAGCAAGCATCTGGTGGAACTGCGCACCATCCTGAGCTCTTCATAGGAACCACTTCTCAGTGAAACGCTTCTAAAAACGATTTTAAAAGCTTATCAGAGAAACGCTATGATGACGTGCTGAAGGGGGGGGGCTCTGATTCCTTAAATAGGAAGATATTTCAATGCGTTAAATTGAAAATAAAATTTCTTTTAAATCATGTTTGATATGTCCAGCATTTTTATAAGAATTGAAGGTAAGACAGTTAGTTAATTATGCTGTTAAATGGCATTCCAGGGTAGTTGATTGCTTGCAAAGTTATATAAAAATTCAATAATGACTTTATGCTCTCTCCCTCTCTCTCTATCTTTCTGTCTGTCCAGATATGCTGATATGGACAACAGCCCCACACAGCATCGGTGTCTCTCGGGGGATTGTGGGCAGCGTGTCCTTGAACAGCTGCTGGCCACTGACCCAAGATTTTCTGCTCTGATGCTGGGAGGGAGGAAGGAGGAAAGGAAGCAGCGGGATACTGTCAGTCTAACCTCTCCTAACCTTCACATCCCTCTCCTGGAAAGCAGCCCACTGAGGCTGCCCAGTCTCCAACCAGCAGACCCGCACCATCAGAGCACTTAGCTTTGAGGTGTAATTAGTCGCTTGAATGAAAAAATCTCTGTGGAGCTTGGCTCCATGAAGGCAAAAGAATAAAACACACAAGACTTCGTGTAGTCAGATAACAGAAGCTGAACATTGAGATTGTCTCGACATGCTGGGAGTGATAAACTGATCACATACCTTGTTACAGTAAAGTTGTACTAATTTAAAGGTTTTCTAACTGCATATTTGAACCTGGGATTGTAAAGAAATCCCACTTTCTTTGCAAGTGGGAATTTTTGAAAAACATGAGTAGGAGCTCAAAATTATACATACAGACTCAAATGTAAGCACACAGCTCATTAATATTTTATTAAATGCCCCTTAGTAAGTTGTACACGGTACCAGCTGTCAAGCATGGTTTCATTCTCAGTAGTAATGTTGCGTCAGTATCGCTCAGTACACCAGCGGTGAAATACTGAAGATGTTGCACCGACTGCAAATTCTTTAACTTCACCTTAAATCAGGAGCTCGACAGGTGAAACAGAGGCATTCCAAACATGCACTGAAAGTGGCTTTGGGATGGATAAAGCAGGCTAACATTAGGGAACTATGCAGAATCGGTTTGAACTACGCCTAAAAACTGCCAGAAAACCAAAACCAGAGACGTCACTCATCCAATTAAATTATGCTAGCAGCTTGTTGATAACCAGACATTCTTCACGACTTCACCAGGGATATTTTAACCAAATATTAGTGAATGTGTGCGTGCATGCGATCGTCTGAATGAGTTTGACCTTGTGTAGAAGAGAGAGAATGCACAATAAATTCAAACATGCGCACCCTATCTTTTTATTTCTCTTTATGTTGTTTTTGGATAAGCAGGACCGCCAATATGAACTTACTACACATGCAATTAGCCTATAAAGTTTATAGATATTATAATAATATTAATCGGAGTACCCAAGTCTCTCTCCTGCGAAAGGCAACCTGGTTCAGAGCAGAGTGACACACGGTGAGAAACAATCGACAGCGAAAGGCAAATGTTTTCCTTGACTCAGGGTGAACCCAACACACGGAAACATAAAAGCTGCAAGAAGCTTTTTAAAAACGAAACAGTTTTTCTACAGCATATCTGAGGTTAATTCTGGCCAAAGAGACAGAGACGTTCAGAAGTTGCTCTGTTTAATACTTTGGACTTCTAAGCCTCTGCCTATCACGGGACACGCTGAATGTGGAATCATAAAGGTAAAGACTGACATTCTCTAAGGAACGACAACGGAGAACGTTGATTTAAAGCAACTAGTCCTAGTCCAAGTTTCTATCATTTTAAAACAATAGAAATGGTCTGACTACTACTGTCATATATCCATCTGTTCATCATTTATTCCCACTCATCCTTGCAGGTTCGAAGGGGAAGGCCTGAGTCTTATAGCCAGAGGTCATTGAGGGAGAGGCGGGGTACACCCTGGACAGGTCGCCAGTCCATCACATCACTTTCACACAGCACCAGAAAAAAAACTAACGACCGCTCACTGCCGAAAGGCAAGAAACAATTACTTGAAGAGCCATCCTGGTCTTTTTAAAGAGCTATTGAAACGGGCCAAATCAGAATCTGCACATGAAAGCTTTTTTTTTTCTTAAGATCAGAAATCATCTTCACAAATGACGGGTTCTTCTTCAGCATCTGCATCTTTGTTTTTAAATGATGTGATTGAAATCATTGCATTTTGTGGAATGAACCGGATGCATCTAATCTTTGTGACTCAACCCTCGACTCCCGACATAAAGGTGTGTCCTTTCTGCGCTTGGCGCCAGAGGATGATGAGGCCAGCGGCTGTGCGTGTGTTGCTGTGCGTGTGAGTGTGTTTATCGAGATAGAGGCCGACCCGAAAGAAAGACGTGCCGACCTGCTCTCTCCGAGATTAATGTCTCCGCCTCTTCTTCTTCTACATCTCGAACAGCACTCCCCTCCATCCTGCGCATGACCTTCCCTCCTTCGACGGCGGGGGGCCATTCATCTATTCCTTCACCTGTACATCCATCCTCCCATCTGGGAGACGGATGCATGCTGAGGGTGTAGCGGGGGGGGTTGAGATCGTCGAGATCCATGAACCTAAGCAGAGTCATTCTCTCCGTCTTGCTCTCTTCCCTTGGCATAAGGAGCGATTGGAGGACTGATAGTGACGACTGCATATCTTTATAGTTAATATTAATGCGAGGAGACAGAGGACAAGGTCTCCCTGAAGAGAGCTTTACTCTGACATATGCTCCCTGATTCCCTACCTATCTCTCTAACTCTGTTTCAGTCCATCTCTGTCCCTCCATCGCAGCCCTACGCTCCTCTATCAATCTTTTTCCACATTCTCGTTTCCTCTTATCGTTTCACCCAACCCTTTCCCCACTACTATTACTCTCTCTCCCCCACTTCACTCCTTCGGCTTTTTACCAGTTTTTCTATTGTATCTATTGTTTTATGTTCTTTATCACTCTGTCTTTCATCATAGAAATGTTGACGCGTCAAGGAGGGGTGAGGGACACGACTTTATGAGGGCTGTAAAACGAGGATTGAAGGTGAACGACGGGTAAACACGCACAAACGCGTGCGCACGTGCAACGTGAACGACGTCCGACTCACGCCGGGGTGTAAATCTCGCTGCTGAACACCAGGTGTTGAGCTGAGGGCTTCATTCACGGCTCAGACAGACCAGACAGCACGGCATGCACATTTATACGACACAGATGTTGAATTATGGTATAGAAATAAGGTTGTTTTCCTCCAGCTGCCACAAAAAAAAAAAAAAACACCATAAAAACAAGCAAACACTGAAAATCTTAACAGGCTTCCAGAGTAAACTGTGCCAAACACCTTAAAATTAATTTCTCTCCCATGTACCTGGCTCTTAATGCAGGAATGAATCTCAATCACCAGCACTAAAAGAAAGAAAACTGGCTTGTTTAGCGACAAGAAAACTGCTGCACTTGGGGATTGGCAGGGGCACATTATGTTTCTTGCTCAAGGATAGATTACCAGGTATGGCTGGGTAGGGTATTGAACCTCAATAAAAGCTGTCAGCGGATCCTTGGGTAGGAAAATTTAAAAAGAAATCACCCGGCACTTCTGGCCACTTTCCTCAGAGCTACAAGCACACTCAATCTGCAACAGCATTTAATAACTGACTTCTGAGCTCTCTCCACGGACTGCCCTCTATTTATGACTGCCACTGTTGGTGTAAATCTCCAAGTTGTCAAGATGTCTGACAGAAGCCAAGAAAATCTCCTTTTCATTGTGCTTTTGCTGGGATTTAAGGTAGTTTTAGCTTCTATGGGAAAAAGGTGGCTGACAGCAAACTGTGAGGTAAATAAGATAACTCTGTAAATGGAGAGGGACGGCAGAGTGGGGGGAATACAAAAGGTTTCAAAAATTTGCATCCATCCATTCTTCCACTGTCCCCTCATTTACCTGACTTTTGTGGGTGTAACACATTCAAGAGGGGCCTAAGAAGCCAGTGGCATATGCCTGGAAAGCCTCTATAGGGAGTCATCCAGGAAGCCATCTTGGCAGAGACCAAATCCCCTTTAACTGACTTGTTTCAATGTCAGGAGAGCAGTCCTCTCCAGATTAGGGAGCGCCTCACCCTGTCTCCACGGTGTGAGTCCAGCCACATATGGAGAATGAGTATTTCGACAGGAAGGTTCCCTTATTAACACAACAGATAAGATGTGGATGTTTGGGACTAATGGAATAGATGCCCAAATTGTTCTTTATAACTGTGAAGAAATGTTCCCCAATTCGTCTCGCCTCTCAATGCTTCACACTAAAGTTCACAAGCTATGAGCAGCATGTCTGTTATCTACCAAAAAGACAACTAAATAATCAGCTAACAGCTCATTTAACTTCAAGTGTTACTTTATAAAGAGCAGGATGGCAAAAACACATAATACTCTCTAAAATAAGCCCTTTAGAAATAGACGTAGTGGGTGATCATCCTCTCTCTCTCTCCATTCTAACACCATTCAGCTAAAACCAAAAACCGGCACTGGGCTCCAGACCTCGCTATTGGAAGTGCTGAAATTAAATATATAAGGAAGTCAGGGCGGATCCTATTGGTCAGCCAGGAAACAGCCAAGTAAGATGGAAAACGCATAATCCTGGAGCACAATATGAAACCAGTGTTGTCGCTGTTTGCAAAAAGGCATACAATGGGATAGCCATGTTCTCTCATCTACTACAGTCTTGTTCTCAGGGTTTCAATTAGGGCCTCCTGATTTCCCCGGGGGCCTCTCCCTTTCATGGAGAGGCCTCATTAACAGAAGAAACACAAATACATGCACACACAGCAGGGCTGCGCGCAGTAATGCTCACGCATATAAACAGACCCACGTCTCCTTCAGAGCTTACCCCCGTCTTCTCATCAAAGATCTTGATCCCTCCAAAGGAAACGGTTAGAAACACCTTCTGCTTGTGTTCTCCTTTAGACCGTGCTGCAGCAGCTATACCCTGCGGATGAGACACACACACACACGATGCAAAACAATCGCATTAGGAATAGAAATGAAATACATTTAGAGTGGAAAGGGAATGCACATTAAGTAGAGTCTCTGAGTAAAAGATTGTTCTCTTGGTGGATTACCTCTCAGTTGTGGTAGCAAGCCACACACGGTGGCATCAGGTGAGGATGAGACAATTTACAGCCACAAACAGACATTTTACCAACATGTTTAGCAGAAGATTATGCAACACTAAGAGGGCTAAATGTCAGGAAAATATGGCAAGACACGCCATTTCTGCACATTCTAAACTTACTCCACCAAGAAAGTTCTGTAAAGCTGCTGTCACACCGTTTCTTTTCTTGACACATATGTTTCCATAGCTAGAATGCATTGTGAATGTGAAGAAATGAAGCACATTTTTCAAATCATCAAGTCCTGTCACATCTGTTTGGTATGTGTGTTCTTGTGTTGTGCTACTGTTTGCATAAATTAGAATGTTAGATTTTTTTTATTTAACCATTATTTTATCATAAAGCCCCATGAGATAAAGTCTCTTTTTGAGGCCAAGAAGCACAAAAGTGTACAAAATTTACAGTTTGCTACTGTGCTGGACCAAATGAGTTACTTTTGCTATCATGTCATAATGTCATATTTCCCATATCCCTTTTCTCTAGGGAAGATCATATAGAGAAGAAAGATTATAATGTTTATATACAGTCTACAACTGCCCCCAAGTGGTGAAATTATGCTTAACAAATGAATCAGAAAGTAATAGCTGGCCTACCCTACTGGAGGATGCATTTCAAACATTTGGCATGGTGAGGTGAGTGATTCAGAGTGCAGTCTCGTCTGACCTTGGATAACGTTTTCGGTCAGACGAGGCATATTTTTATAACCTGCAAAAGACGTCTTGTGTTGTCTTGTTTAGGTCCACAGACATATTCCTAAGTTTAAATGCGAACAATAACAGTGTTAGCGGTGTGACGGTATAGGTCTTTCAGTTCAGCACACATCTGTCCTAAATCAATATAGCCATTTTAAATACACAACATTTGTGCATGAGCTCTTTGTTCCACTAAACAGTTTTAAAAGAGGCACCAAAACAAAGTAGAGAAGTTTTCCAGCTTTCCGCTAAAGTCTGCCACATTTTCACAATGCACCTTAATATGAACTCAAACTTTCGTTTTCTACATGAACTTTATGATTTTATTTAATATTCGAATAATAGAAAATTGATTTTTTCAATGAGATTTATCCTGTTTAAATAAAAGCCAAGTAAATGAATAAAAATTGAGAAAGAAAGGCAGACCCAACCAAAGTTATCATTTTACAACAGCAATAAGACACATAACTCTTAATTACTCACTTAAAAATAATGTTAAATCAAAATCAAATCAAATTTTATTTGTATAGCACATTTCAGCAGCAAAGCATTTCAAAGTGCTTTACATCATAAACACAAAGTCATGCATCATAAGATAGACAATACATTGTTACATATTACATTTCAAATACAATTCTAAACAGGTGTGTTTTTAGTAGAGATTTAAAGGAAGTCAGGGTTTCCGCTGTTTTACAATTTTCTGGAAGTTTGTTCCAAATTTTTGGTGCATAGATGCTGAAAGCTGCTTCTCCTCTCTTGGTTTTGGGGATGCAGAACAGAACAGAACCAGAAGACCTGAGAGGTCTGGAAGGTTGATACAACAACAGCAGATCTTTGATGTATTGTGGTGCTTGAATAATAAGCCAAAAGTAAAACACTGGCGCACAGAGAAATAGGCTGAAGTCCAAATCCAGCTGCCTGCAGTATTCAACCAGCCCTAAACACCATGGAGATTTCTGCAGAGGGATTTTCTCCAACAACTGCGCTTTTATGGTGCGTTCAATTGCAACTTCTACAATAGATCGTCTCTAGATAAACATTTCCAAATTAACTTGCACAGTATTTTACATACAAATGACAGAACAGCAGACTACAGTTTAGGCGTGACAATAAGTCCATTTTATCGATTAATCAAATGTTTGATTTATTTATTTTTCTTCAATTAAATGCTGCAATGCCCTCCCTGGGTTGCTATATTTCAGAGTGATGTCAATAGAACCAAAAGCCCATTATGTTGGTTGGCTAGCATCTCAAAACGTCCTTTAGGTGAAGTTGCATCTTTACTCTGCAGATTATTTGTTTGTTTGGTGCGAGCATTTCCCAGTTGCCGTATTGAAGGTCAGCTCTGGATGCAGCATTTTTTGCAGACCTACTATTTTTGTACATTGAAGGTCTGATTTCCTGAGAGGTTTGGTCCAGAACAGTTTGTGACATCTGACTCCATAGATTAATGAGTGGTTTGCAGCCTATGAACCTCTGGACTGGATTTGATTCATTGGTGCCTATGTAGATGCCAGAAATTAAGTTAAAACAACTATTCTGGAAGGTTTTCAGTGGTTTAAGTCAAAAATAATACTCACTGTAAATACATATGGTTGATATGTGTGTTAGAAATGCTACAGTCTTTCTCATCTTAGTTTAACAAGGTTTTGAAGAGTTCTACAGCCTTTATCGTTCTTTGGTTTTTAATTATCGAAGCCGCTCAACAGATTTATTTTAAATACTGAAAGCCTTGTCATGCACATGATGCACATCTTTAAGAGCAGTCAAGCAATATGAGGATGGAAAACGTTTCTTCATGAAGCAAGTTCTGAAAAACAGAAGAAAGCCAGGGCCCATCATTAGAACGGGCATTACTTTCATGTTGATTTGTGTTGCTTGATCGCAAAAAGGAGGGGAAGAAAAGGGTGGAACAAGAACAGAGAGCCGGAGGAGTTGAACGAGGCTCCGGAGGAGCCACGTGAAATAAGAGGTGGAGAGACGAGAGTAAAAGAGTTGATGGATTTCCTGTCGGAATAAATGAGAAGGAGGGATCCCGTTTGATCAATGAGCTGTCTGTTCGTTTCTCACCCTTATAGGTCTCCACTGGGTGGAGTTTTCACTCCACGCAAAACAAAACACAAATGTAATTTTCTCTATTTCATTTCCACCGGCAGCATGACTTCGGGATAATTAATAATGAATGATCTGCTCCTCGCCTTATATCTTTGACAAAAATCTGCAGGCAGAAAAAGAAAAAAAAAAACAAGGATTTGTTTAAAAATCTAAACACAAGTTTCTTCATGTTGCATAAGTCAATCAATTATTATTATTATTATTTTTTTTTATAATCGACGCTCTTTTTTCCATGAATTATAATAAAATGGCCAATCTGCTGTCATCTTCGACTTCACTCACCTGTCTCCTACCCATCATCTAAATGATCCCTCTTCCTCAATGACTTCTCTTCTTTGTTAACTGCCCCATCTGTCTAACTCCCCCTCTAATTGTTCCTGTCCTGCCAAATGAGACATTCACCCCAATCCCCTTCTCATCCATATGGCTAACCTCCTCACTTCCTCCTGCACCCATCATCATCATGCCTATAAATTAAAACATGCACTTTTTTTTTTCCCTCCTACCTTCGTACTTGAACTTTTCTCCCCTGAAAATTTGCATAGCGGGAACAAAAAAAAAAAAAAAAAAAAAAAAAAAGCAGACAAACCCTGCATACATGACTATATACGAAGGCGCGCTTACGCTGTGATGTATTAAACATGCACATTTAAGTGTTCAACACTAGAATATGCATGAAGATGAACTCTTTATGGACCAAAAAAATTGAACAGCCACTGATGTTTGTAGGTTTTGAGAGCGCAGAAACTTCATTCGGCCTGAGGCGATCCATGCTGCGTTGTTTCTCCACATTCTTCTTCTCTTTCCTTGTTATTTCAAATTATCATGCAAATTTAAAGTTGCCAGATTGTGTCCGCGCAAATCTCTGTTTGTTTGCAACAGCAGGAAAATAAAAGGGAAGGGGAGTGTGCTCTTACCTTGAGCTTCATCATTGAGTCCTGGCAGAGCTTGTCTCCGCGGGCGGCGGTGACCTCGTCCAGGCCGATGAGTTTGGCCTTGTAGCGGACGCCATCGCCCTTAAAACGCCTGATGAGAGCTGCCTCGCTGCGATCCTGCCCTGCAGTCACAAACCACATGCAGACACACACACACACACACACACGCACACACACACACACACACACACACACACACACACACACACACACACACACACACACACACACACACACACACTCTGCAGTCAACAGTGCTGCTTCCAGTCAAGGACCTCAATCTACCTCGGACCAGCAATATTACCTCAGGGACATCAATCAAGTGGCCAACAAAAAGGCTTGAAACTGTAATTCTTTGGGGGAGAAAAACAAAACAAAAACAAAAACTAAAGTAAAAGCCAAAGCTAAAGATTTAACAACATCTTGTTTCAGGACTAACTCAGAAGTGATTGTGTTGAAATTGGTCAAAAATACTAAGCGGATGTGCCTGCATCGTTCAGAAGGAATAATGTTGAAACTCAAAATAATGCTGTGACATTTTGCTCTTATCTCCCCCATCTGCTGCAGTCCTTCCTCTCTCCTCTTCTTCTATTGTGCCCCCGATTGCCGACACAGTGCGAATGCATTAGTGCGTGTCAGCCGTGGCGTGAACGTGTTGACCTTGCTCTCGTACAGGAAGTCTCTGTGTTATCTCCTGTGTTCCCTCTCGCACACACAACATAAGACGCGGGCAGAGCAGCTTCTCATAAGGCCGAACTCTCGCTCCCTTTGTGTCACGCTGTCACCATTCTTCTTCGGACCGTTTCCCTGCCTGTGAGATGCCGCGGGTGAGCAGTTCATCAACGCTTTTCCCATCCGGAGGAGCACCAGCGAGTCTCCCGGTCGACTCCTCGTCACGTGTGGTGAGCATGCAGCGCGGGGGGAAAGGAGTGTGAGGGCGAGAGCGAGAGGCGTAATGATAATGCAGCAAATTCAGATAATATATAGAGGCATTAGTTCTGTACTCTGTATCAGCGTGACTCTTTGGAAGGTCAGACTCAGAGTGATGGAGAGGTCCCACTCCTCCTTTTCTCACTCTTTCACACTCCCTCCATTCACACAAAGTCCCCGAAGCACCGCAGTGTAAGAAGAATGAGGCTTTTGATCCAGGGGATCTGGGGGGGTTTGGGACGGGGACGCCACGTTTCCCAGAGCTGTTTAATCATAGTTCCCCACCGCTAATCTACTTTGTGTCTGCGTTACCTGCTTACTCATGCAACTTTAAATCTGCATCAGCATCACATGATGTGAATCATATTTACAGCTATTTGTGTGTGTGATCATTTATTCTCATCGTTTGTCATTCATCGTGATGAATTTCATTCATTTCATGAATTTTGACTCATCGTTATCATGATAAATTCCAATGAATGATGTTAACCACCCAAAGCTCTCCGCATTGGATTACTAGTTTCACTTTTTTCTCCACTGTTTACTCAATAAAAGCATAAAAATATATCAATAAATTTAGAAAATGTGCAGCTTAGTGGTAGGAATCACACTTCTTAAAGAGTTTTAGTATTTGTGTTTATGGGGATATGATTGCTGTGTCATGCAGTCAAAACCATTCAGTTATCTGTAAAGTATTTTTTGTAAATCATATTTTTAGGTCCATATCGCCCAAATTGACGATACGGATTCACACCGCTACCTAGAAGAAGAATCCACAGCTCACACTACCAAACACTCTTCAGTGTGGAAGTTTTTCATGAACAAAAATGACTCAAAAACAGCTATTTTTGTTTTTTAGGTGAACCGTCTAAATAGAAGTGATTTAAATCAGAATCTGTTTCAAAGGAAACTGTATTTTATAGTGAATAATGTTGACTCTCAGTTGGGATGGTTCATTGGCCTAAATCCAACTTTAGTAGACGCAACGAAGACTGAATTCACTACAGCTAATTTGTTGTGTGTTTTATCCCTCTGAGCTTTTAACCTCCTTTTCTTAACTGAACATGTTGGTGCATTTTCAAATGTTTGCATTGTTTAGGAAATCTCAAAAGCAAGATTTTTTTTAAGCTCTGCAAATGCTTCTGCTTTTGTCATGCTTACTGTGCTAGTTGAGCTAATCACTAAAATGAAATCTACTTTTACTGTGACATTTTTCGAGTTATGTGGTTTCGGGAACTGATGGTCTGACGGGACAACCCTCCACCTCTTCCTCACACTGCCCAAATGCATTATGACCTCGGGAGGGTTAAAGATAAACCTGAATCATTCAAGGTCAATCCTCTCTAAAAGATTAGAGATCGGAAAATAAACACAATTCTGATCAGTGCATTTCCATTTAAAATCTTCTGTCTCATATAAGGGAATACTTGTAAAGAAAACAGTTTTCCCCATTGAAAAAAAAAAGAAAAGAAAGTCCTACACACAGACACTGTGTATGAACTCGCGGTGCTGACTCACTAAAGAGACAGACTCAGCCACAGCCATACTTTCAGTAATTCATCACTGCCTCAAAACCCTAAGAGACAGGGCAGCTAAAGAATTTCTGCCCTTGTTTTGTAGAGAACGACTCGTTCAGATGTGTCGCCTCAGAGGGGATTCAGATGAACGGAGGCGTTTTAATCACCAGGCAGTTCTGCTTTCATTTCATTTAAAAATGCCCCTCAAACTGACAAGTTTCAGAAATGCTCTCAACATCCCTGTTGATGTCAACGCAGCGATGCTACGACAACTCCTCCAAACTCCTCCAGACTCGTCTTTTCTTCTCATGGAGTCAACAACATGAAACGTGTTCCTGCTACAAAGTCTTAAGATGCCGTTTCATCATACATTTACATTAAAACGTGAGACACTTCTGAGAAGCTGGGTGCTCTTAATCAATGTGCTTGAAAACTGATTTGGAAAGTTTTAACAAACATATGTGGAAAGGTAATGCTTCATGTTGAATGTTAAGGTTTTATTACCCCAAAAACAGCAAATATGACACTTTATTTTTAAAAAAACAGATTTACTTTATATTGAGTTACCACAACTGTGTTTTGTTGAGGTCATAGTGAGTTTTAACTTGTGTTGCCACTAAAACACTGTACTCCAGCAAAACTTTGATAAAACCATCAAAGTCAACATCATCAATATGAGTAATTAGCGTCGCAGTGTGTTGGTATATCATCACAAAATCTAGTTTGAAACAAATTTCTCTCTATATTATGGTTACAATATGTTCACTGAATTGAAACGTCTCAATTTAGACACAGACCTGCTTCTGAAATCATTCTATTGAGCAAATAATGTCTTTCCTTGGATTGCTAAACAACGGATGAAGTATGTTGCATATATTGAGGGAGAAAATCTACTTAAATTATAGAGCTTTGTTGATCTAAACTTTACAAAATTGCATTGTGTTACTATAAATTTGTGAAAAAGTACCATCTGTTGAAAACTGATGGAGGAAATAGAAAAAAGATGACTGGCTAGACTACTGACTTGCAAATGATGATGTTAAAAAATGATGGTGAGAGTACCAGGGATATGTTGAGGGGTTGGGTTGAGAAAGTAGCAAACCGAACACCACAACACAGATCAAAGATCTACACTGAGTGAAAATATCCAGACGAATTAAAGCTCAACTGAGCAGCAGCTGACAACCAAACTGAAAAATAGGGGTATATTAACAGATGCACAGATCTATTGCTATTATAAATCTGATGTAAATGTAAAGCAGACTGCCTTGGCTAAACAGCTGCAATAAATGGAGAAAATTGCTTTGCTTTATAAATTCCCCCTTGGGTCTTTGATTTAGATGACTGAATTTATTGTTTTACAAAGTAAACATAAAAGCTGCATCCATTAATACTTACAGTTCAGTTTTTTTTAAAAGATACATTTTTCCCCTTGTTTCTAGGATCCCACAGTGTGCAGGGAGCAGAGTGTATCTGTCACTTCAGGGGCATGGATCTGTGTGAGTGTTAAATAACACTAGATGTGTCCAGCTGCTTTTGTCTCAATGGAGCAGCAGTTTTCATTTGAGTCTGACATTTAAGACCTGCTTGCTCCATCTGCATCCATCACCATTACCCCAACTATACTTAGCACAGAGGGTGGAGAGTCAAAGCGAGGCAGCGAGGTTGGAAAAGGCCAAGAGAGGAAGGGGAGAGGAGAAAGGCGGTGAGTTCGGGGTTATTTCTCCTGCTGAGTGGTTTATATTATTACCTTTTGGAAGCATCTTCCATGAAAGACCTCCCCGTGTGTCTGTGTGTGTCTGCGTCAGCGGGTGTGTGAATGTGTGTTTCGGGGAGGGAGAGCCATTCGGTCTGCCGTAATTAAATGTCTGGTATTGCTGTGACCCCACTGAGCTTCAAACACAACTAATGAAAGAATCTTTCGTTTCATCTGTCATGCTGTTCCACACACACATGCACGCACACGCACACACACACACACACGCACACGCACACGCACACACACACACACGCACACACATGCGAACAGCATAGTGTGACTTGCTACCATGCTCACACAGACGTGTGTGGCAGCATGTTTGCAGCGATCAAAACTAGTTTGCCATAAAGATGAAAGAATCTTGTGCAGCATCAATCTCAGTAACTTTACAGGTGAACATGCAACATCAGAGCCGCAGTAAAGCATGGGCCGCTATGAGATTCTCCCAATATGGTAAGCTTGAGTAAAAATGCCACAGAAATTAATTAAAATGCATAAAGAGCTACTTGGTTTAATTTAAAATAAAGTAGCAACAAATCATCCTACATACTGCAAAGTGGAGGTCAAATGCTTCAAAACAGTGTGACCTTCATATTTCAGTGGTTTACTTTGATGGCTATGGGCTCACCCCAATGACAAACATCCAAAATTCAGATTTTCTGACGATTTCAAAATGACATGAACCAACTGAATGTGATTTTAACGCACAAATCTCATCTTACAACCTAACCAAGCAGAAGGAAGATTTATGACTTGATGTTTTCGCAATAGATAGTCAGGCACCTATTAAGTCTAAAAGTCAGTGCAGAGATATACCAAGGCGTTCATAATTCCCTCCATGAAGAGATTTGGTACGTGCCAAAAGAACCACCACCAGTTTTAATGACTGTATCACTATGCTTGGGTGGCCAGCACA